AGTATTTATTTTAGATTGAGTTTAAAGGTTTTATGAAATAAGTGCGCAAATGAATGAATTATTACTTATGATTGCAGGTGTTTATCCCTGTTTTGGAACGTAAACATTGGATTCTCGTCGAGCTTCAGCTCCCATCCCTTAAGACAATAGTGTATGACAGCATGATAAATTACATATCATTGGCTGATTTAAGAGATATTATTAAGGGATGGAGCTCTCATTTGGCTAAATTCTTGGATGCGATCAATTATTGGACTCGTTCTGGAAACAAGAAGCCAAAGAAGCTCAATATTACAGTTATTAGAGACGAGACCGCGCCACAACAAACGGGAGGAGCCAGAGGAGATTGTGGTCCTCTCGTATGCTTGGCGTTGGAGCGTTTGACGACGGGAAGCACCAAGTATCACCGATAGAGATAGAGCTGCAGTAGGCTTGTGGTTTCGGCATTATATGACTAAATCGATATATACGAGACGCTGCCTACCTGCATCCGCGTTATAAAAATGTCCATAAACAATTGGTAAGTTTATAGACTTTTGGTTTGAAAATGTTTGGTTAAGTACCTAGAATTCAATAATTTGCTGTTTGTAGGTTTTATATGTGTAGAAAGTGTTGTTTGAGCAAATGTTTGGTTTCTGCAGGTTAATCTCAGAAGTGAACTGCGTGAAAATGATGTATGGCTGCAAAGTTGATTCAAAAGTTGATTCAATAGTTTAATTGATTTTTTTGATTGTTTAATTGATTTGTAAAAGTTGATTCAATAGTAGATGATTGGAAATAAGAATTATTGCTTATTTTTTGATTGTTTAATTGATTTGTAAAAGATGATTTGTAAAAGTTGATTTGTGTAATTGATGCGAACATAATTCTTATTTGTGCTTGTTTAATTGATTGAAATGTAATGGTTGATTTTGTTGATTTCAATCTGCATTATGTTGAAGGCAAAAATGACTATCGCAATGCGAAATGAAAATCGCAATGCGAAATGAAAATCGCAACGAGAGAATCGCAATGCGGAAATGAAAATCGTAATGCGGAAATGAAAATCGCAACGAGAGAATCGCAATGCGATTTTCATTTCGCATTGCGATTTTCATTTCCGCATTGCGATTCTCTCGTTGCGATTTTCATTTCGCATTGCAATTTTCATTTCGCATTGCGATTCTCTCGTTGCGATTTTCATTTCGCATTGTGATTTTCATTTCCGCATTGCGATTCTCTCGTTGCGATTTTCATTTCGCATTGCGATTTTCATTTCGCATTGCGATTTTCATTTCCGCATTGCGATTTTCATGTTGGGATTTTCATTTCGCATTGCGATTCTCTCGTTGCGATTGTAATTTCCGTGTTGCGATAGTCAAATGCATGCCTAATAAGTGATAACAACTGAATAACAAGAGTTGGTTAAGTCAAAATGGTTGGCCTGAGTCATTAATTCAACTGAAAATGTTAAAAGTTCACACATAAAATCCACATAATACAACGTTTGCATTTAAAAATCACCTAAGTTAACAGTCCCAAAAGGTGAAGCCAATTGTGATTGGGATTTTAAAGATGATTGCCTTTTGCTTGACACCATATGAGCTTTGGATTTTGATGAGGATCCATATTTTGGTAGAGGAAAAGATGATTTTGATGGCACTGGTGATCCACATGTCAACCTTGTATGACCACTTTCCTTGCACCGACTACATGTCGATCTCTTCTTCTCTCACCCTTAGACGGTATACGATCGTGACTTTTTGGTCGGCCAGGTAGCCTTCTGTCCATGGCTGGTGGCAAAACTGTTTGTAAGTCATCTGGTATGTCCCACTCAGAAGGATGTGGAATAGGGTAGACAATCTCGGCATAAGTCTGTCGATAAACTTCTGTAGTGTAGCAATCCATAGCGTATGCGCTTGAATCATCTTGGTTAAATGAAGAGCAACTTTTATAACATGGCCACACGGATAACCAGATGTTTGCCATTTCATACAACTACACGTCTTTGCATTTAGATCGACTAGCCCATTTAAGTTATTATCCAGTACTTAAAACAAAGTGTTTGAACATGGTTCAACTCTCCATGACGTTGACTTCACAACACGTTTCGTTATCTTTTTTTCAGTCCATGGTGTAACACGATGTTCCAATGTTCCTGTAAATTTAAATAAACAATACTTAGTAAAATATAAATATGATAAGTTACGAATTCAAAGAAATAATACCTGCATGGTTTCTTTTCTTGTAGTACCACTGTTGAATAGAGGCTCGAAAAAACTCCATTAACATAGTAATGGGTAATTTCCGGGAATGACGACTTAGAGCGTTGATTGATTCTGCACTATTAGACGTCATGAAACCATATCTTGCTCCAAGTTGATGTACTCTTGACCATCTTTCAAACCCGACATCTTCTAGTGTTTGAGCACACTGAGGCAAAACACGTCTTAAACAATTTATATGCTTATTGAAATCCACTTCCCGATAAGCTTTTACAGCCTTCCAGTATGTCCATTTGTGCTTTTTTATACCAGCAGACCTTGATTTTAGATTTCTATACAAATGAACACCACAAAGTCCATGAAAAGCATCTGGGAAACACCTTCTAACAGCGTTGTCAATTGAGTTTGCCCTATCGGATATGATTGTCAGATTGCTAATAAGACCTATGCAATCCCTAAGATGCCCCATAAACCATGTCCATGAATCAGAGGTTTCAGATTTGCCAACCCCGTAAGCTATTGGCAATATCCCATTGTTAGCATCCATGGCTACTGCTAATAAGTTTACTCCAAGGTATCGACCTTTCAAATGTGCTCCGTCAACTATAATAACTGGGCGCATGCAAGTAATAAACGAACGAATCTACAAAATAATATACACAAGAAATATAATCATTTAAATGTGAAATGCATGTAACTAACAAAAATGAGTCAACAAAATTATATTGATTTACTAACCGTAGCACCAATGGCGATAAACAGCAACTCAAAGTGTCCATCTCTATCTGTTTTGATATGAGTTACCGACCCAGGATTTTTCAGCTTTAAATTGTGACAATAAGCCGGCAGTTGGGCAAACGATGCTTCTGGCGACCCCCTCAACAATTCCAAGGCATAACATTTGGCTCTCCAAGCTTGAGAATATGATATACTAATCTTGAACCGAGCATTCATGTCAGTCATAATTTCATGTCCCCGATATACCCTGCCATTCAAAAACATTAACTCAGCCAGAAAACCACCCAACACCTTTTTGTTTGCCTGTCTATGGTGAGGAAAAACTTGGGTTCTTGAACATGTATGTTTATCAATAAAAGTCCTAACTTGAAACATTTCGCAATCTTTTATTCTCTTTGCAATCATATGCCACGTACAGTTTTTGTCAATCATACACCTTGTTTCGAAACGATCTTTGCTTGATTTGTTAACTTTTAGTTGATAGCCATCTTCCACACATTTCGTATACAAAGCTATCTTCAAGTCTTCCTTTGTATCAAAACAATCATCTTTCTTGATACGAATAACTTTTGTGTAACAATCAACTGCTTTCTTTACCAACTCTTCTTCCGGTATCTGAAGTAATTCTGGCATATTCCAGTTATACGCCCGTGGCATTTTCTTTTCTTCGGGGACTTTTTCTTCTTCTTTTTCTTCTTCAGGATTATATGAATTACAGAATGGATGTTCAACATGTTCATTCACAGTCGTAACTTCCTCCTCATTATCATCAACAATACATTCTTCGACAACGGTTGTTTCATCATCAAAATTCGGGTATTGACCAATATCAAAATCATTACACGCAGGGTCTGTTTCTTCTTCTGAAACATCATCAAAATCCGTGTATTGACCAATATCAAAGTCCGGATATTGACCAAGACCAAATTTCGAATACTGACTAGTACTCACAATTTTTTCTGTTGGCTCATCATCGTCTAACTGGTCAATACGAAAACCGGAATTTGGTGCTGAAAGTTGATTGGGATTTGGATTAGAGAAAGGTTGTAGGTTTTGAGAAAAACTTAGTTGATTACTACCCGCTACTGACCCAACAATACTACTTCTAGGTTCAACAACATACAATGTAACATCATCTTGTGAAACACTAATGTAAGCAATGAATCGTTCAACATCTTCATTGTCGGTTAACAAATAAACTTTACCATTTCTCTGATAAGATAGCCTAAATCCACTTAGGGGCTCTAAATTCAATTTATTTGAAACACGTAGCATTAGAGTTTCATAAGTTAACTTTTGTAAAGACAATTTTAGTTGAAGATTCATGGGTAAATGCATATATTGTAAAACACCATGAACATTATCCCATGACCCTCCAAAACACAAATCTATCCAAACATGATCAACATTAGATGATTTCATGGTTGTAAATTAATTTACTAAACAGACGAGCTGCGAAACTAAAACCTGTTGCCGGATTGGGAAGGATGTCGTTGGATATAGGAACGGATGTCGCCGGAGAGAGTGATAGATGGAGATGGAATGAGTTGCGATTTAGGGATTTAGTTTATGATTTGCTGCTGTTGCGTAGTTATATACCAAAATTTCAGTGTTGTGATTTACAGATTCTCGTTGCGATTTACGGATTATCGTTGCGATTTACAGATTCTCGTTGCGATTTACGGATTATCGTTGCGATTTACGGATACGCGTTGCGATATACGGATACGCATTGCGATTTACGGATACGCGTTGCTATTTACGGATACACGTTGCGGTTTACGGATACGCGTTGCGATTTATGTGTTCGCGTTGCGATTTTCATATTCGCGTTGCGATTCTTGAAAATCGCAATGCGAATTTGTACTATCGCATTGCGATTTTCAAGAATCGCGTTGCGATTTTGGAAACTGATTTGCGATTCTGGGGATCGCGTTGCGATTTTTATTTTGCGTTGCGATTTTGTTGGTCATTTTGGCAAATCCAAAAAAAGTTGGTTAAAGTCGTATATTATAAGGCATTTTTGGTCACTGAGGCGATTTTCTCTAATTTATAACTTTTGGTAAGGAAATGGACAGAGACAGGTATGACAAGGTGCTCGAAGCTTGTAACCTCAGGAAGGATCTCGAAATTCTCTCTTTCGGCGATCAGACTGTTATAGGCGAGAGGGGAATCAACTTGAGTGGTGGACAAAAGCAGAGAATACAGATTGCGCGTGCTTTATACCAGGATGCCGATATCTATCTGTTTGATGATCCTTTCAGTGCCGTGGATGCTCACACCGGATCTCATTTGTTTAAGGTAACTTCTTCCTCTGATCATATGGCATGTATGCTAAGAGTTATACTTCGGCTAGTGGTTTGCCTGAGTATCTCTTTTGATCTTTTGCATGACAGGAGGTTTTGCTGAACATGTTGAGTTCGAAAACAGTGATTTATGTCGCTCATCAAGTCGAGTTTTTACCTGCTGCTGATCTTATTCTGGTGAGCTATGTACATTTATTTTCAGCGACTTCCATAATATGCATCGGATTCAAGAAATTATTTATAAATTGGATTCACTTGTATTATATATTTGTTAGGTGATGAAAGATGGGAGGATTGTGCAAGCTGGAAAGTACAATGATATTCTCAATTCGGGGACTGATTTTATGGAACTTGTTGGTGCACATAACAGAGCTTTGTCAGCCCTCGATAACGTCGAAGCAAGATCTATTTCCGAACGAACTACGAGTGAAGGAGAAGGTGCTATGGGAAGTACCAACGGAAACCAAGGCAACGGGAGTGGTAAAGTAGATGATGCTGGGCCTAAAGGACAGATTGTTCAAGAAGAAGAGCGAGAGAAAGGAAAAGTCGGGTTTTCAGTTTACTGGAAATACATAACAACAGCATATGGAGGAGCTCTTGTTCCTTTAATATTGCTGGCACATATTCTGTTTCAGATTTTTCAAATTGGCAGCAACTATTGGATGGCTTGGGGATCACCTGTGTCGGCAGACGTAAAGCCTCCTGTTGGGAGCTTTACACTAATAATCGTCTATCTCGCCTTGGCTATTGCAAGTGCCCTTTCCATCTTTGCCAGAGCCATGCTTCTTAATACAGCCGGATATAAAACAGCCACTCTTATTTTCAAGAAGATGCATTCTTGCATTTTCCGTGCTCCGATGTCATTCTTCGATTCCACACCAAGTGGAAGAATCCTCAACAGAGTAAGTATATGATGTTTTCCTGTATGCATACCAAAGATTCGATTTCTGTTCAATGGAATATTTTCCTTGTTTTTGAAGGACTATAAACGGTTTTCCTGCTTCGTATAGGCCTCTACGGATCAAAGTGCAGTTGATATGAACATCCCGTATCAAGTTGGGGCATTTGCTTTTTCAGTTATCCAGCTACTTGGAATCATTGCAGTCATGTCTTAAGTCGCTTGGCAGATATTCATCATTTTTATTCCGGTGATTGCTACCTGCATTTGGTATCAGGTAAGTTGCTGAACTGTGGCTATGGAATGCATAAAATCATAAACTCCAATCTTGCCTTATTGATGAACACATGAATTCTCGTAATCCGCAGCAATATTACATATCTTCGGCTCGAGAACTTTCACGGCTGGTTGGAGTATCCAAAGCTCCATTAATACAGCATTTTGCTGAAACAATTTTAGGAGCAACAACTATAAGGAGCTTTGATCAAGAAAAGAAATTTCAAGATACAAACATGGAACTGATCGACTCGTATTCTCGTCCAAAATTTCACGTCAGTGGTGCAATGGAATGGTTGTGCTTCCGTCTGGACTTATTGTCTTGTGTCACTTTCGCCTTCTCTTTATTCTTTTTAATCTTTTTACCGGAGGGAGTTATCGATCCCGGTAAGTAAATGCAGATTCGGATTGGCATCTTTAACAACTAATGTTCTAGGAGAATAACTTGATGCATTTCCTTTTGTTTAGCGATTGCCGGGTTAGCCGTGACGTATGGACTCAATCTAAACATATTGCAAGCTTGGGTCGTATGGAATATCTGCAATATGGAGAACAAAATTATATCTGTTGAGAGGATACTTCAGTACAGTAGTATCCCTAGTGAGCCTGCCCTTGTGATCGAAACTAATCGCCCGGACAGTCATTGGCCATATCATGGAGAAGTTCAAATTCATGATCTGCGGGTAAGGCAGTTTGCCGTGTTTATGACTGGTTCCAATATATTGACAGTGTTGCCTTTGAAATAAACGATGATGGTCTCGACGTAGGTACGATATGCCCCACACATGCCACTCGTCTTGAGAGGTCTCACTTGTACTTTCCCTGGAGGGTTGAAAACTGGCATTGTAGGGAGAACAGGCAGTGGTAAATCAACTCTCACACAAACACTTTTCCGGATCGTTGAGCCAACTGCAGGGCAGATTATAATCGACGGTGTCAACATCTCATCGATTGGACTGCATGATTTGCGGTCACGACTCAGCATCATCCCTCAGGAGCCTACCATGTTTGAAGGGACTATACGAAGCAATTTGGACCCTCTTGAAGAGTACACAGATGAACAGATTTGGGAGTTGGGTTCATTTCATCTTCGATTACGAGGGAGAAGAATTCATAATCTGTTTCCTTTTCTTTATGATTGGTATTTGAAGTCTAACATCTATCAATGCGTGTTTACTTTTCAAAGGCATTGGATAAGTGCCAACTCGGGGATGGAGTTCGAACGAAGGAAGGTCGGCTCGATTCTTCAGGTTCGATCTTTTATCGTATAACTTGTAATACAAGTTTACCCTTATTCCTTTTGCATCATATAAATTGCTTAATACTATAACACTTGTGTAGTTAGTGAGAATGAAGAGAATTGGAGCATGGGCCAAAGGCAGCTAGTTTGTCTCGGACGTGTACTTTTGAAGAAAAGCAAGATCTTAGTGCTCGATGAAGCGACAGCATCGGTCGATACAGTGACCGATAATCTAATTCAGACAACCTTAAGGGAGCACTTCTCCGACTGCACGGTCATAACAATTGCTCACCAGATAACTTCGGTTCTCGACAGTGATATGGTTCTGCTTCTAAGTCATGGTGAGTAGAGATAGTTTGCTGCTTGTAAGATAAATTCTTCGAAGTTCATTTCATTCAAAACTTTTTAACCTGTTCGCAGGACTTATAGAAGAATATGATACACCGTCGAGTTTGCTCGAAAACATGTCTTCATCATTTGCACAGCTCGTAGCAGAGTACACCGTAAGGTCGAATTCAGGGTTCGAGAAGTTGGACTGAACTAGATGACGATGATGATGAAATCAAGTGTTACACATCAGAATGTTAATTTGTAACAGTGGGTGTTGTTCATTGTTTTGTGCCAGTTTCTCGACTGATAACACGTTATCATATGAACTTACATTGTTGGGGGACCAATCCACCAAATTCTAATAAAAATCGTCTAATCTAAAAAAGAAATTAATCACTCTTATACGAAACTTTATTTTCGAAAACTTTAAATAAAGTTTATCTAATTCAAGACACTCCAAAATCAAAACAATTTTTAAGGATTTAAAATCATTTCAAATTCAACTCGCTAAAATCTATATCAATTTAAATGGAACATGTTTAAATTATTCGACTTTTTTATTATTAAACTAAGGGTAAATTACACAAATGGTTACTGATGTTTCAGTAAATTTTCGTTTTTTAATTAAAATCTCGAAAGTAATAAATCAATCATTAATGTTATCGATTTATTATAAATTGATCACTCGACTGTAATCGTTGTTAACAGATGTGACAAAATACACAGCTGGACCGTTAACTGTATATTTGACTCGTTGACCACTTACCTGACACGTTGGCTTGTCATCTATTCAATTCCAAATAAAAACTCATTCTTGTGACCATCACAATTGCCTCAGTCCACGGGCCCTCCACCTCTTGTGATCACCACCCTCAAGAACAATTCACTAGCTTTTTCCCTTTATGAGGGGCAAAAATCAGTACACTGCTTTTGACACTGCTTTTGACGGTGGTGGTCATAGGTGGTGGAGGGACGATGGGGCTAAGGCGGTTGTGGTGGTCACAAGAATGAATTAGGGATGGCATTATGACCCGAACCCGACTGAGAAACCCGAAACCCGATCAAGGTTGGGTCGGGTTGAATAATATCGGGTCGGGGTCGGGTTCAGAGATTTTTTTCAAGGATTTTTTCGGGTCGGATTTGGGTTCGGGGCAAGGTATCCCCGCCCCGATTATATATATATATATATAATATTTTATATTAATTATATATAAAATATTTTCGGGTTTGGGTATAATATTTCGGGTCGGGTCGGGTTCGGGGACGGGGAAAAAATTCCCCGACGGGATGCCCCGATAAAAAAACCCGTTGAAAATCGGGTCGGGGTCAGGGATTCATTTCGGGTTCGGGGACGGGGCGAGCAAAACCCGCCCCAAACCTGACCCGTTTCCATTCCTAGAATGAATGTTTATCTAAAATTGAAGAGATGACGGTAACGTGCTAAGTAAGCAGTCAACGAGTCACGTAATCAATTAACGGTCCAACTATGCATTCTATCACGCTTGTTAACTATGGTTAATGTCGAGTGATCAATTTAAAACAATTGATAACGTTAGTGACTGATCTGTTATTGTTAAAATTTTAGTAGGGAAAATAAAAATTTAATCAAATATTAGTGATCATTTATGTAGTTTACTCTTAAATTAAAAGTAAATTAAACTTTTGACTCAGGTCTAATTACCTAGTACGAGAGTCAACTTAGAGGGGAGAATTGTAATTCTAAAAATCAATGGTGGTAAATTTTGTAATTTCCAAAAGACTCACTTACCATCCCCACTTGCAGCAGCAAGCAAAGCCTTGCATTCACCAAACGCAAAGCTTCTCTTTGAGTTGTGAAGCGACAACTCTTCCATAAAACCTGAAAATCCCTACTTTTTTTAAAAGTTTTTTCTTAAATAAATTTCCATTTTTTCAATTGAATTATTCTTATTGATATAAATGGCCCTTGAATCCTCAATTTTCAGCCGACCCACTTTCATTTATTCAACAAAGTCCGCATCTTTCCTGCTTCTAAATCGAAATTTGAAGAACCCATCAAAGTTTTTGTCCAAAACTAATCCCTTCCCAACTCCTGTTATCTCCACCTGCTCAAATCCCCGAGTTTTCAAAGCTTTTGGGGTGCCAAAAAACGGTGCTTTTGGACACAATGGATTGCTGAGGGAAGAGAAGGAAGATGTGGGAACTGAACAGAATTTGAATTTGGTGAAAAGGGGTATTTTGGTGGCATTGGTTTGTGGTGTATTGGTCTATGGGTGCAAAAGAGTTTTTGCTGTGGAGGGAGTGATTAATGCTGGTTATGGAGTGATTGGGAAGTGCATATTGTTGTTGAGGAATGCTTGGCCTAAGGCATCTATGATTCTTAAAATGTTTAAGGAACAAGGTCTGGTTTTGACTGCGCTTTTGAGTTTGTCTGCCTTCTTCTCAATGGCTGAGACTGCTATAACCACATTGTGGCCTTGGAAGGTATTTGATATCTTCGACCTAGGATTTATAGCTTTTATATTCATAAATGCATATTTTTGGTTGTTCAATCATGAAAATCAGAATGCATATGATATGGATTGTTGTATGTTGGAAAGAATGTAGATGATTTGGTTAGTTTATAAATGTTGTCTGTCCTATGTTATACTGACTGGTACCATCTTCCAAATATATGAAAATATAGAAATAATACCTTTAAAAGAAAATGAGCACAGCGGAACACTCACCTGCCTCGTAGTCTTTCAATTTTCATTTAGACAACTGTTGTGCAGATTCTTTGGTGACTTGAGAAATTTTGCATAAGGTAGTATAAGATTAAATTTTGATTTGCAATGTGAACATTTGATGTGAATTCCATGTTTTATATTGATCCATCATGATTGAATTTGAATGATATCAATCTCTTCTAGATATTAGCTCGACAATAGATTTATAAGAGGAGTCAGATTATTCATGGTGAGCACAAGATGAAGACATATATAAGCACATTAGAGTGAAAGGGGAAAAAAGACGAGTGAAAGAAGGAAAACAAAGGGAGAAAACGATAGAGAAGGAACTTATAGATTAAGCCAGTGAACGACAACATAAAGTATTTATCATTTCAACTATTAAAACATGAGTCAACATCAGTTAGTGATCCAACAATTAAGAATTTTGTTGTTCAGACAAACCTTTCGAAGTATAAAATGCACTTTGATTTTTAGTTGCAGAGGATTAAAATCTCTGCTGCAGGTTTCCTTCATTGTATACGTGATCAAACCCTTAAGAATTTTGCCTTTCATTGATCATCTGATGTTAATTTGTGTCAGGTACGTGAGCTGGCTGAGAAAGAGTCTGAAGATGGTGTTTTTAAAATGCTTTCCAGTGATGTAACACGGTTTCTCACAACCATTCTTATTGGCACCACGTACTCTTCTTTTCTTGCCATGACCTTGACCAGTTCCAGTTCCATTTTCTTTTTCCAGCTTTAGCTTGAAAGTATTTCTTATTTTGGATATAATTTCTTTACTCAGGGTGGTCAATATTGGAGCAACTGCTTTAGTTACAGATGCTGCAACAGCAATATTTGGGGAAGCTGGTGTTAGTGCGGCGACTGGAGTAATGACTGTATGTATATCAATATCTTGTTCTTATATTTGATTTTGGGGTTGTATGTGTTGCATGTCATCTTCTTGTCTTTCTTGTATTTTGATTTTGTTAGAAGTCATCAAGATGAGTTGTCGTCGGGCAGTGCATGAATATATAACATATCTACTCATGCAATAAATACCGGTTGCCTTTTATTGTATGGTGCCAGGTTGCCATATTGCTTCTCACTGAGATCACTCCAAAGAGTATAGCTGTTCACAATCCCACAGAAGTTGCCAGATTTGTGGTAAGTTCCCCTCCCCCTCAAGAAAAAAATCATTTGGATATTTAAATTTCATCACCATGTAGACGCGTGTCAAAATAGCATTGCTTTTTTATTTTAAACCAATTCAAAATTGGCCGACTAACTGTGGTTAAAATATTTCTAGGTCAGGCCAGTGGCATGGCTCTCTGTAATACTATATCCAGTGGGAAGAGTTGTGACATATCTATCCATGGGAATGCTCAAAATTCTTGGTCTAAAAGGAAAGAGGTGAAGAAAATAGTTTCCTGGTTTTAACCTATCTGCATCTTCCAAGTCGCCATGCATTATCAGTTTCATTTGCAATGGTCTGTCAAATTTTCAACATATGTCATCATTGTGGTTTATGCCTTCTAAATGCCTTATGCTTTGTCTCTTTATTTTAGTGAACCTTACGTTACTGAAGATGAATTGAAGTTAATGTTACGAGGGGCAGAGTTGAGTGGAGCAATAGAGGAGGAGGAGCAGGTAACCATACATATCATGTATATTTTAAGTACATATGAATAATTTTGATTGAGCATTTGATTAGCACAATATTTTATCTGCAATGGGTATTTTTCTGCTATCTTCTCTTCTGTAGCAGTAGACCAGTGGGTCTTCAATGAATCCAAAACGAATAGCTCCAGCTTAGCTATCCGGTAGAATGCCTATCTACAGGCATGCTGCAGTTATTGTTCTCTATGATCCCTGTTTATACTTGACTATTCGCATAAATCTAAATGAATCATCCATTGGTTCCTATCTCTTCGTTTATGGTTCTGGCGCTCTTACTGTCGGAATCACCTTGCAGGATATGATTGAAAATGTATTAGAGATAAAAGATACCCATGTTAGAGAGGTGATGACACCTCTTGTTGATGTAGTTGCAATCGATGCTAGCTCAACTCTTGTTGAGTTCCACAATTTGTGGTTGACTCATCAATATTCAAGGTAGGTAAGCTTAGTAGTTAGTAATTAATCTTTTGGCTGTTTTTCCTTAAAAACAAGCTAAGAGACCTGTTGAACTCATTTTTGCAGGGTACCTGCTTTCGAGCAGCGGATTGACAATATAGTAGGTATTGCATATGCTATGGATCTACTAGATTATGTTCCAAAGGTGATACAATTTCTGCTCAAAGTTACATTTTTTTTGTTCTTTTCATTGATAAGACCTTGCTTGTTGATGCATGCAACAATATCATAGTGTGAAGAATTATAATTTGTTTGATTTTGAAGGGTGAACTGCTAGAAAGTACTACTGTGGGAGATATGGCTCACAAACCTGCATACTTTGTGCCTGGTAATTCTGTTGGTTTCAAGCTTTGAGTTTATGCTGTTGAATTTTACCTTTCTATCTCGGTATTCATTTGGCTAATGGTAGATAGCAGCTCAGTTTATTGTCATCATACTTTCACAACACATGCCTATAGATTATATTCCGAGAAGCTGTTACTCATAGTATTCTCAATTTGTTTTGCAGATTCAATGTTAGTCTGGAATCTCCTTAGAGAGTTTCGAATCAGGAAGGTTCACATGGCTGTTGTTCTTAATGAATATGGTGGAACAGTGGGGGTATGATGTATTCTTAATTTTGAATGATTTTGTATTTGCATTTCTACTCTCGAATGTTTCTTTTCTGTCAGTAGTTTTTGCTAAAAATGCAATCTTCATGTTTTGTGCGGCATTATTGTACTTGTATGGCATAACTTAACCGGTTTGCTATACGACATTAATATAAGATTGAACATTGGAAATCTTTTTGCAGTTTGAAAAGTTGAATGGGCTGCCAAAAATTCCTTTTACCTTTGTTAAAAGATTACTTAGCAAACTTAGCAGGCAATGATTAGTAGTTCATTACTTCTTTTGTCTCTCTTTTTTAATTATTAATTTTGATTTTTATGATGAGCAGATAGTCACCTTGGAAGATGTGGTTGAGGAGATCGTCGGTGAAATTTTCGATGAAAATGATTCAAAAGTAAGGCTTACTACGTCTTTGACAACTTCATTATTAAATTAGTTCCTCTGCTATAAACTTTATACTCCTAATTCTTTCGATTTATTCCAAATGCTGCTTTTCATTATTCCACAAGTAGGGGATGTTAATGAAACTTGCTCAAGAAATCCGAAATCAAGGCGATTGTTACGCTTCAATTTTTCTGCTCCACGATTTATATAGCTTGGTTCTTATATTTTTGTTTCCTGATATAACAGGAGGAGATCCAGAAGAAAACTGGCTATATCGTAATGCGAGCGGAGGGTATCTTTGATGTTGATGCTAATACTTCTATCGATCAACTTTCCGAAGATCTAAACATCAAAATGCCAGAGGTATATCACTTGTATTACTCATTATTATTGATATGAATCCTCGTGCATAAAATTTCTTTCTATTTCCTAGCTTCTGCTAGTTTGACAGATATAGAAATGTCTATGAATATGCATTCAGATATTAAAACAAGGGTCTGGATCCAGATATGTGAAGTGTCTGTTTTGTCAATTTATACCTGTATTTTCAATGTATTTTATCGTTGTTTTGTAGGAACATCAATATGAGACTGTGTCCGGTTTTGTATGCGAGGCATTTGGATATATACCGAGGACAGGTGAGAGTGTCAAAGTAGTGCTTGAAAGGGATAATGAAGAAGACGATGATGAGAGTTCCGAAGCTGCATCTGATCGCCAAGATCTGAAGGAAAGGCATCAGATATATAAACTCGAGGTATATTTTGTCCCTTTTCAAGATATGCGTTTATACTGAATAATGTAGCATTTGGAGTGCAGTTGATTACATACAAAATGAAAGCAGTTTGCACCGATGATAGAATCCCTGAACCTAATATATACAACATTTGAAATGTAAAAAATATTCATTTTGCAGCTTAATTTTGAGCATCTTGTCTTGGGGTGCAGATATTAGCAGGAAATGCCCGAAAAGTAAGTGCTGTTCGATTTGAGCGGATAAACAATGAGGAAGCACTATTAGATGCCACAGCAGTAACTCCGATGGTTCCGAAAATCATGAAAAAATGGGGCAGCAATGAAGACTCAAATAATGATATTCACGATGAAGATACATTTGAAGAAAAGCAAGACGATGACCCCTCGGATCAGTATGGAATTGCTGACCATAAAGAGGATAATGAGAGCCCCAATGGACAATAATTGTGTTACACTAATTGTTTTTTCCTCTCATTTGCCATTTTCCCTCTCCAATTTCTTACAGCTTCTTAAGAAGAGGTAAAGACTTGTAAAACGGGAGAATTGAAACAACAATACAGATAGACCAACATTGTACAAATTTTCACAAAATGAAGGGTCAATGGTGCTGGGGATAATGGCCTATTTACTTGATGAAATTCTGGTTAAACTTAACATTCGAAAGCTATCACATTTAACTCGATTTCATACCTTTTTTATGGTTTGGGGTTTCTAAGGTATATGTCTGTTTACTTGATTCCCAAAATGGAACAATGTTCCATGGAGACAAGACTAGATTCAGGCCTCTCTATTGAGTTGCTCAGTCGGTATCAGTAGTCATCCGACTCATTGAACCAACTGTCCGATCATCGGAAGCAGTACGAATTCTACCGAGTCTGTTTTGCATGCTCCGAAATGAAGGATGGTCAGCTACTTGAGATATAACCTCATGCTGCAATGGATCTTCAAAGAAATTGATAAGGGCCTCTGCAGCATTATCCCTCAGCTCCTCCGAGTCATCATGGAACAATTCAAGCAGACGATGGACAGCCCCTGATTCATTTAGTGCCTCCCGATCTTCCCGATTATAGCTCAACTGAGCAATAGCTCCGGATACAGCTTCTCTTACTTCAGTGTTCTGAGAGCCCAAAAGCTCGACCAGAAGGGGAATTGCACCCGAGTTTCGGACAACGGACACTGAGTGCTTGTAACCCGAAAGATTCCAGAAAACATTTGCAGCTGCAGCTTTTGATTCAGCATTGCCTTCCCTAAGGATTCTCACCAAGTTTTCAGCTATTGAAATTGCATTTGCTTCTGCAACAGCTAATACACAGAAAACATCCTCCGCAATCTCGTGACCGAGTGGTTCAGGTCCTTGAATGAGCTCAGCATACAACGGAGTAGCCCCGGCTTGAGCAATCAGGTCAATGATATTAATATTAGCTGAAATCACACCAAGGGAATTGCCAGCCACAAGTTTCGCAGCACGATCTCCAATTCGAAGCATTTCCACGAGAACATCTATAACACCCAAATCCACGAGCATACGGCGTGCACGCCTCGTAACACCGAGTAACCCGATTGCTTGGCAAGCTCTTTCCCTAGATAACATGTGACCACAACTAGCTGCCTCAACAAGAAATCTGACACCGCCTAAACTAATAAGTCCCCTCCTTACAACTCTCAACAACGACAATGCACTCAAAATCTCCAACAAGTACCGTCTAACACCACCACCTACTGATGAATTCAACATATTAACAACAATCTCCGATCCACCATTTGTAGCAAAAACGGCACGATTCTTGTCACACAAATTCACAAGGCACCGAATGCATTTCAGACAAAGTCTTTGAAAACTAGCATCGGATAGCGGCAACAACCTTAAGATCGAACGTAGAGCACCGGATTGGCCTATCTCGGTGGCCAATCTACCATCTCCTAGACAAGCAATGCATTTTAAGCAATGAATAACCGGCCCTTGAAGACGAGGACTCGAATTAGAACTATCATCAGCAATAAGATTACTTAGAATCGGTATGGTTTGGCGAAGTATACATTCTGGGGCTTGATTCGACAGTTTAGCCAATTTGATTACTGCTTTTATACGCGTGGACTCAGTACCAGAATCAATTACCCTTTCAAAGTGATTCAACGATTCTTCCCAGTTAGGGTTCATCTTTTCTCTGGTTTTTTTGTATCAAAATCACGGGGGAAATCCAAGAAGGGGGTTTTTGTATGCAAGAAAATCAATTTAACAGATACATACAGAACAAAAAAAAACACGTTTAAAAAGGAAAGGAGAAAGCCTAAAGTACCTCTTTTTTTTTTTGGAACAGATGATGAAATTTTGAACGTTTTGAAAGAAATCAAAGAGAGATTCAATTGCCCCCGAGATTTGTCTTCAGATTTCATTGAAAGAAATCAATGAGTTAGTTTCATCATATGTCCTCAAAGTAGGATCCTTATGTTAAATTGGTCCCTAAACCTTTAAATGTTCTAATTATGTCCCTAAAATATGATTATCATTCCAAATTAATCCTCAAACTTTTGAATATTTCAACTTCATCCCCACACTATGACCTTTATTCTGAACTAGTCCCCAAACATTTTGAACATTTTAATTTCATCTCAAACTATATGTATGTACTAATCACATTCCTTGTTAATAAAATTGTTAGCCAAGTTATATTATTATATATTTGGAAAAAAATAACAGAATTTAGGTTAGACTATGGTTGAAACTAATTACATATTTGGATGAATTTGATAATGATATTGGAATATTAAAAAATTTGGGACAAATTTGGAAAGAGAGTCATAGTTTATGGATGAAATTAGAATGTTTAAAAGTTTAAGGACAATTTGAAAAGAAATTATAATTTGGGAACATATGATCCAATTAACTCAAATAATAATAATAAGCGAAACTATGAAAATGATAACCTTTATTTCATTTAATTTAATCTTGTTTGTTAATTATAAGAAAATAATATTTTAATTATTTATGTTACTGATTTATAAGGTTTCAGTCAAATTTAATGATATGATAAGTGAATATAACTCTAAAATTATATAAATGTGTGCATATGAATATGTTAAACTCTACAAAAGCATAACCATTTGCTTAAAACAAAGATTTAAATTCTCAAAGTATATTAAACACCTAATTTGGTCACCTCTCTTTCTAAACAAAGACCCTGTTTTTACACTTTCAACATGAAGGCAGTGTAATATCTATATCTCCTGCGCATTGGTTACTGCAATCAACCAAATCTTCAGGTTAATATGTTCCATGTATACAGAGGGGAAACCCCGAATTAACTACTGTTGAACGAATCCACGACGACCGGTACACACCACAGAGGGAAACAGATCTCAATTCAATGAACCCCTGCCGAATTTGAAGTAGCGAAAGCAAGTTATGAATGCATTTCAACTAATTTTTTCCGTTGAAAGAAGACCTGAGCTTGGAGACGCTTAACACTCTTGAGTTTGAACGAGACAGTTTATGCGGCCGGAACTAGAGTGAACAAAGTACTGTACTGTTTTCTGCTTCCTCGAGAAAGCTACTTCCTGTGTCCTGTTAAAGCAGGATTATTAATATCCCGAGTTCAACAAGTAACTGTCGCACTTAAGCTGCGAATGACTGGATTAAATTTAGCAACCTCTAAAATTTACCTGTATTTATCATGCTTTTTGCTGGACTTGCCGGTGTATTTGCATTATCCAATCAACGTAACCACTGGCACCACCCATTTGGTCCTCGAGAAGATTTACAGGAAGCAGCAAACCTTCATTGGGTTGCTCGCCTTGTCTTACGAGATAAGGAAGTCGATAGTATGAAGGGTCACCCTCTCCTAGTTTCTTCAATATCCTCATCAGCCTTATTGACATTTCATTATCATGCTCACTAAAGGTAACCTGATTATAAAACATAAACAAACCAGCGGCTTAAGTACAACATCGCCATGGTGCAGCGCGTTTAGCAAAGGTCAATAAACATGTTAACTTCGAAATTGTTTTCGTGGAGAAACAAAAAATGCACGTCCATATAAGGTTCCGGAAAACGAAACAACCAGCAAAACAAGCAAAGCATATTCAATATCAGGATGCAGTCAGTGGTTGCAGTTGGCATTCATTAACAAGGGAATGTACCTTCGATAATTCTGCTGCAAAATCTGCCCCCAGTAAATTCCTAGCTATATCAGGCGAAAGCATTCTACCAAACCATATAACAAATCGGAAGCCATCATCGTATAAATATAGGCCTCGTGAATCTATGCTTTCGGCAACCAAAGGCAATCTCTTCATAGTGATTTTGAAATCATCAGATTGAGCAAATGGCTGCAAATATGAGACAAGGGATTTTCAGTTTGTATAATCTGCATCTTTATTGAAATTTATTCAAAGGGTCAAAATCTTTCACCTTCAAAAGATACTCATCGATTCGAATCAAGTTAGGGTATAAAAGCTTCAACAACTTTTTAACAGGTAATGCCATCATGGTGAAACCTGCTGCACAACGTTCATCGAGTTGAGCATCAGCATATCCTCCTTTTAGAGGTACTGATTTAGAGAGTGCTAATCCATACAGACATAAAAACTTCAGAGATTCTGGATAAATCATCCTCTCTCCCAAGCGATGCTTCACAGCATAGAGATTGCGGTACTCTCGGAGTGCTTTTACAATCCTTAGTTGCAAAGAATTTCTAGCATCTTCAAGTTTATTGGTCAAAGTTTTCTCGATTGCTGCAGAACATCAGGGGATTAGAAAATAAAAGGACCCTCTTAAACTAATGTCCACCAAAAGAAATAAGATCTCTTGCAGAGGGCTTGATCAACTCTACCTAATCTAGAAGACAAAGAAACAATGGCACCAGTGTCAGCCTGTCGGTACATCTCCCCTAGATCTGTAACAACAGGGGCAGCTGCCGTATGTACTCTAATACGCCTCTCTCCACAGGATGCAGTATATCTTTAAATCGTCAAAGAATAATTAGTACCCCATATCCTTTCCCAACTTTTAAAAGTAACCCACCAGTTTCAGCAAACGACGGAATAACCCAATAAATAAACAGAAATACTGTAAATCGACCCACTTAAAGGATACAGTAAAGCAACTTGGAAATATACTGTCTGAGTTGTCAGCACTGTCTCCTCAAAGGATAGCTGCACTGCATATGCTTTATCACAATCTAAAGTCGGAAGAGCTATTAAATCTGTGGACTTCAGCATAAAGTTCCCATGATAGGAAGAAAATCGAATTCCTGGTATCAACTGCTTTGTTATCATAAAATCATAGTGGAAAACACAAAAATAAATAAATAGTGTTTTCTATAAGCACACCCATGTTAACCTATAGACTGAAGAGAGAGAAAAATCAAGCACCTAACCAAACTGCATCGGGATTATGGCTTAATAGCATTGAGTTACAAGTGGATTCAAATAAATAAAGAGAATCATCAGACCTTTTCCACATCTTATGCGCATAACTGCTTCCCAGGCTGTCTCCCTAGTAAGATCTCTGGCTAATTCATGCCTCAACTTCTCACCATGAATACCTGATTGGAAGTTTAGATAATAATATACTTGACCTCCAGTATACTTCGCCAGGATTCCTACATTGGAATTAAAAAAAATAGACATGAAGTATCACTAAAAGCTACTCTGAACTTCAATATCATTTTAAGCCCAAAGACAAAAGGACAGGGATTTTTGTACCTAAGGAAGCTATGTCAGTGTATTTGTCACTAAAAGCATAAACATTAACCCCTATCTGATATTTTGTGAGATCAGCCGCCATTTGCTTGTAGAAGGGATCTTCAGGTAATCGCAATATATGTTCCTTATCAGTTCCATACACACGAAGATCATCTCCACGCAACTTCAAGCGTCCAACTCCCAGGGAAGGCAACGTGTTCTGGAAAATTAGCAACTTTCCTCCAAGTTGACTCTGCGATAAAGAGGCAGTCAAACAACTTTTACAGAACGCAGTCATCAAAAAGAAACTACAAGGTGTCTCCTTGGTGGTAAAAGATCAACATAGCAAAGATGGAGAGAACAACGCACCATAATCATGAATGCTGCCTTAACTGCGGGACCAAAAGCAGATTCCACATTCACATTGTCCTGAAACATAGACGGCAAGCTATCCAGGAATGTTTCAACCACATTTCTTGATTCAGATAAGTTGACAAGGATATCATCTGGCAATGGGACAAATATATCATCCAGGTCTGCAACTACCATCATTTGAGGTTGTGCAAGAGATGACTGCAGGCAAAAATGCCCAAAATTTATTTAGGAAGTAATTCAGATAAAATGGAGAAAATATGAGGCATCTATAAGAAATTTTCTACTGATTTCAAAAGTCACTTGCCTTCATGTTGTAAAAATGAATTGTGCTGTCAAAAGTAATAAAACCAATCTGTGTTCTGGGGAATCCAGGCAGCTCATCCAAACACGAACGGATAGTTTGAGCAACAACCTGTACAGATATGTTGTAAGACAGCATATGTAATCAGGAGAGCCATAGAGAAGCATAGCCTATCAAGGCACGTTTATTACCACAAAGCCAGAGCAGGAAGTATTCAGACAAAATCATTTATTTAATCAATTATGATCCAGAAAAGTGGACAACTGTATGAAAAAAAAGACTGCTGGAAAACAGATTGTTAGCAATGACAATAAAAGGTTGTAGAACAATGAGAAAGAAATTATTGCTGTGATGTGGAGAAACCATTGCCTTAGAAGTGATATCGCCCTGATCGGTGTAATCGAAAAATGGATGTCACCTACCAAGGTTAACACAAAACTACCAAATACGTACACACAAATAAGGGAGATGGAATTCAGTTGTTGTTGCTCTTTTAATGGGAAGCAAAATAGAAAATGATAGAGGAAGAGAAGAGAGAAAATCAAATGTTTTTTCTTTCAACGAGTAAAATGAAGTTCTTAAGCTTACTATTTACAGGTAAAACAGGGGCAAATGTAAAAAGATTGATGGCAGTTTCCATAAGAACGACAGAAAGGAATGGCTGAAACCTTAGTCTTTTAAAAATCTGATAAAAATAGTGATGGTGCCCGAAAAGAGGCACCACACACATGGACAAGGGCAGGGCTGTGTGGGCCTTTAGCTCCAATCACTCAATGGGAGTATGTTAAAAAGCTATATATAAACTCTTGAAAAAGCCAATAACCAACCAGTGTGGGATGTTGCTTCTTTGCACTACAAACAACAACAACCTGATAAAAAATACCTAAACAAGTTTACAGCGTCAGACAACCCTGTAATGATACACAAACACTATCAAACGGAAATAAATATATGATACACAAACACTAGATAATACAAGCCAGCATTTTATATAGAAGATCTGAAGAGCTCTGATATTGTGCACTAATAGCTAAAAAAAAGAGAAAACAAAGCCTGATCAAGTTTTATTCGCATTGCAATATAAGATGGAAAATAAACTTCTTTACAGGAATTGCTTACCTCAATCATGCCACTTCTTACTGCAGATACTGAAACATCAATGAGAAAAAAATATGATGGCGGCATTGGTGGCCGGTGCATGTAATCAGTTGGTGCAACGAAATCCACACTGCCTTTTAGAAGCTCAGGCCGCTGATCCAAATCAATTCTTCTGCCAGTGGCATCCAAGTGGGCAAAATAGTCGCCAGGAACTGAACATGCAAGTTGGATCAAATAAGCGGGTATACTTTGTAATTCGAAATATTACCAGGAAAAATAATCCAAATTGCAATAGACAATAGCTAGTGAACATGCTATATTAAATTCCATTCACATCCAACATTAACTCATTTAAAAAAATCACTGCACTTCAACAATGAATTGAGATAGTTCAAACTAAACGTAGAGTTATATTCCCAAAACAAGCAAGGTTGAAGAAAACTGATATATACTGTTAAAGCAAGTCTACATTGGTGAAGCATGAGCTCATTGCTCTTCAATAGAATTGGACATTCCAAAGAGAAAAGAGAATGCTGATAACATATAAAAGAATGTATTCGAACACATTACTAATCTCACTTTCAAGTTTCAACCATAGAGAAATATCTTTGCTTCCTAGGTTAGATGAGTTTACCATCATTTAGTAAAGCACAGTAATTGCAGCGCCACTTTCTTCCGGCATCTGTAAAAGTGACATAGGGATTCACATATGTGCGACATCTTCTGCAGCGAATAATACCGGTTGAAGTGAAATTAATAACCGGCACTTCCTCCTGAATAGGGAAAAAAAAGGCATTTGACAGGAAAAACATGAGTATTCAACCGTTAGTTTACACCTAAAGGAAATTATTATTGATTTGAATCTTGGGACACTTACCCCTTCAGGAGCCTCTGCAAGAGGACAAACAACAGCTCCAAGAGGCAAATGCCATTTTGAAACTAAATACTTGGAAAATGGTATAGCACTTGTAGTAAGCCGTAGGTATCTAGGATTGCAATTCATAGGATACATCTCAGTAAAAGAACTTGGCTCCACATCACCATCCAACGGCCTAGGAAGTGTTCTATAATCGAGTCTAGGCTCAATTGATCCGTGCATAGGTGCAAGAGAGATTGAACTAAAATCTTCTGCCAAGCTTTGGATACCACCAATAGGAGGCGCAGAGCTAGGATGTTGCATTTGGTCCCTTGACTGGTAGCTCAAGGGAGTTGCTACTGCTGGTGGAGGAGGCATAAAACTTCCTTGCTGAACAGGAAAAGGTGCTTGTGAAACTGCAGGCTGCTGGCTTGGATATCCAGGAAAAGGTGGCTGAAAATTGGGTCTAGGCCCTGAAAACAATGAACCCGATGGAGGTTGTGGTGAAGATCCCATTGGCACTAGTGGTACTTCTGATGGTGGAGGGAGAGAAACGGACGGGGCTGATACTTGACTTGCAAAATGTTGAAATGGTGGCTGCCCCTCAGGTGGTGTACGAATAGGGGTAGTTTGAAAAGTTGAAGGAAATGGCGATGCTGGAAATTGCTGATAAGGTCCCCCAACCGGTGGAACAGATGTAATGGGTGGAGATGGAACTGATGGATTGCTTAAACGAGCAGGCAGTCTAGGTCCAGCTAATGAGAAAGGCGTCATAGTTGGGGGACCACTTGGTGGGGTAGGTCTAAAATTGCTGGCTTCTGATCCCACCACAGAACCAGATGATGCGAAAGGTGCCATAGTTGGAGGAGCAGAAGCAAAAGGGGTAGAAGGAGGTCTCATCGGAAAATTCGGACCACCGGGGTTTTCAGTCCCCATAGTTTTCAATAATATCACACTATGTCTACTGCTTAAGAGTGATCTCTCACAAGTAAACCTGCCAGTAAACGTATAACTGCATTGTTAAATTAACTTCCAACTAGCATACAGCTACAAATATGATGATTTAAAAGATCACATATAAACTAATTAAAATTGAACGTAGTTTCAAGCACTCAGTCTTTGCATCATAAATATAATACATAGACTAAAAAACAAAAGAAGCTTCAAACTCCACTAAAACAGTTCAGATTCAACTATATAACCATCTATTAACTAGGTTCCTATCAACTAATCCAAAATTCAATTCCACTACACCAACTTAGCTTCAGTTTTCAATTAAAAACTATTTTTTAGAAAACCCCAAACCACCATTCTCCCAAACAAGCAACATCCTAACATCATCCCACGGTAAGGAAGGTAAAACCCAAAAAAAGACTAACCGGCGCCGTCGTGTTCAGCTGATGATTTTCAGAAAAAGCTGCTGATCAAAAAGAGACAAGGATTTATTGAAGTTACAGATCGAGAAAAAGGGAGTTTACAACGTAGTAGAAGAAGAAACGCGTACTTACGTCCCTTGTTTTCTTTGTTCTCATGAAAACGCTGTTTCTTCTTCAGCTCTATAGCACTGGATTCGGTAGGCTCGAAAATCTTTCCAAAGCCCAATTCAACAGCAATTAAAGTCAGGTCTCCGATCTTTGTCCAAAGCCTTATGCGGAAATGGGGCGGATGTTACTGATCATGTACCAAGGCCTTGATCCATTTGCTTCTTCTAATTCGGTGAATGTTCTAAAATGTAGTTCGGTATTGGTATCGTTTGACAAAGGATAAGACTTGAGATTTAAGGGTAAACTACTTGAATTGTCTCTAAATTATAGTATTATTCTATTTTGACCACCAAACTATAAATTTTATCAATCAAGTCATTTATTCATTGAACTATAATTGAGTCTATTGAGTGACATAGTTGGTAATAAGGAGTATTGCTCTCCTTAGAGGTCCCGAATTAGAACAAGTGTGAACACGTTATGAATGACTAAGAAAAAATATGAAAAGATATTACTTGTTTTGAATCTAATTCTTCTCCTCGTAACATATTTATTAACCTAGCAAATTAGACACGAATTAAATCAAATTTATAAATCATTTAATTTTATGTGCAATTATTAATATGAAATATATATATATATATTGAGAGGTAAAGATGTTATTAAAATGAAAATCATTTAAGGAAAACATTTTTGGGGCCTCGTTAAAAAAACCTCCTTAAGTCTAGTAGGAGGAAAAAGAGTGCACCCAAAGCAATGATCGAAGAGACCACATCCAAGGTCCTACAGGCTGCGTCTAGATCTAAATATAACCACCCAAACTGTAACATGCTAAAACGAATGAAACAAACAGCGACATAAAAACAAGCAGAATTTAATCCCCACTGCACTGCACCAGACAACAACGCTCTCCTCCTAAAAATGAACCTACACATAGGCAGAAACTGAACCAGCTGCCTGTTTCGCCAAACAATCAGCCATCATATTGCACCTTCTTGAGATAAACTTCACTACTATATTTTCTTGAATTACCAGAACCACATTAGGATAAAGCAGCTCTACCCACTCTGCAGGAACAGAGGACGGGTTCGAAAACCAATTTATCACCAAGGCACAATCACTCTCAACAATTGACCCGTATGACTTAAACCACTCCGACTTCTTGAACAGTTTTAAAGCGTAGTCGACTGCCAGCACCTCCGCTTGCACCGAAGTTCCGTGACCAATTGGGACCGAAAAGGACAGAAACGATTTTCCTTCTTGGTCACGAAGAATCCGCCCAATGCCACCAGCACTACCATCTGCTCTCATAGCTCCATCAACATTATAACTTAAGAGTTCCTTTACCATGTGGAAGCCAAGAAAGAGGGGAAGGCTCAGGCTTATTCTCTAAAACGCGAGTGTTAAATCTGCCACCAACTCATCCAGACTAATAGTAGTTTCTGAAAATTTGGCTTTCAACCAGCACGCTACTCGAAACTTGACTAGAAACACCATTTGCATCATATCTAGCTTCTTCCCATTGAATACTAAATCATTCCTATGCAACCATATCGTCCATATGATCGCAAAAGGTAAAGTGCACCACACTTGTGATAATATATAAGATTTCAACATATCACATTTAAGCTAATATTAAAAAGATTTATTTGATTATAGTTTAATGATTTAGTACATCGATTATAGCAATGTTATTGAATTAAGATGTATTTTTAAAAATATATATATATATATTATATAAATTATTATTTAAATTTAATATTTTTCAAATTGATACTTAAATATTTTGTCTGAAATTAGTACTTACATTTAAAAAATAATTCTTAAATTAATATATGTATTAACTTAATATTTAACAATCAATTAAGTTATTGATGTAACATTGGCCAATCTGAATAATGAAATGATTAAATATCACATATTATATTTCGATTAATTGTTGAAATATCACATTAACATCGGGTATCGATTTTAGAATTCATTTTCAAGTTGCACGAATCAATTTATCTCCGTGGTTAAAGGAATTATTGTTGTTCCTAGAGGTCATGGATTTGAACACCAACGACTATAAGGGTGATTGAGCATTCATTATCAAATGATAGAGAATATTTAGAACATATACTATTTTGTAATCACCTTTAACTTAATAAAAAATCATTTTCAAGTTTGAAATAGTTGACAAATTTGAGTGTCATTGTGCATAATAAGACACGAGAGGAAACGACGTCGTATGGAAAACTAAATACCGAACACTTTAACTGTTTCTCTTTCAAAGAAGCTCGAAACACAGACAGCAAATATTTTTTTTTCGAACAAAAATGGCGACCTTGGATTCATCGAACTCTTCCACTGAAACTGGCATTGGAACAATCCCTAACCCTGATCCTAATTCTTCAAAAGATACAATTCCAGATCCTCCTAACTCCAATTCCCCCGCTGTATGCCTCATCAATTTCGCAGGAGATTCCGCCCGTGGTGCCTTCATGGGCTCCATCTTCGGTTTCGGTATCTTTTTTTTTCTTCTATTTTCTTCTTGATTTGATTCATCGAATCTCTTTTATTTTAAAAAAATAGTGTTTTCTTTCTGGGTTTCCTTGGCATTGTTGATGTGTTTGGTAAAAGAACAAATTTTTAGGAATATTTCATCGAATTCGGGTTTCTTTCTTTATTTGATTTTTTGTTACAGTTCAATGTGTTTATATTTTAATTTTGGTTTTGTTTTAGGATTTTATTTGTCATGTTATGTATGAGATGAAACTTGGAAGTGGTAGATCATTGCAGTTATGGGAAACCGGTTGAAAAATGGGGGGGGATCAACGTCTAAAATTGTAATTTAGATTGAGTAATTCCATTAAAGCAAAGCATCAGAATTTGGATAACAATTTAGAAGTCGGATTGTTGGCCTTCTTTCATGTTCTAGGTTGCTGCATAGTGCTTGTTGAATGCCCCGAGTTTATATTATGCATGTGAGCTTTTGATGATTGAGAAGTCAGATTGTAGGCTTTCTTTCACGTTCAAAATGCATGATGGATGCAATGAATTTATTTATTTTGGTTCCAATTCAAGATTAAGCTTAACCTCTAGTCCCTGAGCAATCATTTCAGTCTGGTTTGGGATTTTCAAATCAAAATTTTGATGGGGCTCGTTTGTCTGCTTAGATCAGGTCTACACTCTCTTTTTGCTTGTCTGCGTTTCTTGCAGGTTCGGGATTGATTAAAAAGAAGGGCTTTAAAGTCTCCTTTGTGGAGGCAGGATCTTATGCCAAGGTATGAGAATCTCATCATTCGAGAATAATATGTCATTAACTCATAGTTCTCCACACTTGAGTGAACTAATCTCTAGGTTCTCTTATATATTTTTTATTTTCCCTTTTATAGACATTTGTAGTTTTGTCAGGAGTACACAGTTTGGTTGTCTGCTTTTTGAAGAGACTGCGAGGAAAAGATGATGGTAAGCCTTGTAAAAAAAACTCTGTAACAACCCCTATTTTTGTTTTGCACTTGGCACGTTGATACTCGGTAATGTTGTCTTTCTCTGCAGTAATTAATGCTGGTGTAGCTGGATGTTGCACTGTACTTGCTCTAAGTTTCCCAGGTACGAGAATCTCGAGGTTCATTTGTTTGCTTACAGGGTTTGATGTGAACCTTATTTTTCACATTGAAATGGTTTTGCAGGTGCACCTCAGTCACTTCTTCGGAGTTGTCTCGCCTTTGGAGCATTCTCATTTATCATGGAAGTGCTTAACAAGCAGCAGCCAGCGCTGGCACATTCATTTCCCACGAGAAACGAGAGCAGAACACGCGCTCTGGCTCTCCCTCTCTCACTCCCTCTTCTAAATGAGCTCAAAGGAGCTTTTTCTTCTTTTTGCAAGTCCTTAGTAAAACCGAATAATAGCAGTTTTTGGACAGCTAACTGATGGGGGTTGCCATTGTTATGTTTCTGTGTTTTGTATATCGTTGTGTGTGTGAGTGGTAAGATTGTACACCGAAAAATTTTGTTAAAGATTTTGAAGCATTTGCAAGCAGAAATATGAAATTGTTTCTTTCATGTTGCATTTCGTGTCAGTTCTTGATTCAATTATATGATCTGTCTGGTTTATATGCAAGCATCATATGGTAAGTTTCTTGGTAGTTATTTTAGAAGATATTCCTGATTTTAAAACCAAATCATAATTGATTTGCTTAAAAAAGCTATATATGTATAACGTTACCTGCTTCATCTCCTTGTAAAAAGCTATCCTTTTCTTATATCCAGGAAATCATCCCCTTTGTCCCTTTCACTTTTATCCAACAAATTTCAATGGACTCTGGATCATCTCGATTCACAGTAACACCATATAACTTTGTTTTTCTTTGTTCTTTTATCTTTTCAGCTGTTCATTACTTCAGTTTAATTTTGTTCTTTTGTTTGATAGCAGACTTTCATCCTTAGAGTCGATATTCAAACCCCAGGTTGGGAGAATTCCATGATCAAAGTGCTTAAGGGAATTCCAGGTATCCCACTATGATCTCCATTGACAACTGATATATATATATATATATATGTGTGTGTGTGTGTGTGTGTGTAGTTGCATGATGCATCTTCTTTGTTGCTGTCCTTTCAGGTGCTACTTTCTCCATTGATCCACATGGATTTGCTCGTGTTTCAGGCAACATAGACCCTGGAACCACTCTGAAACTGCTAGAAAAAGCAGGGAAACATGCTCAGGTATACTGTATCTACTCTGGATGAAGAAACCAAACATCAGAAAGAAGAGATGACTGGCATCATTTTCTGGATGATCCCCATGGAAGATATTGGCAAGTTAGCCATCAATATTACCACCATCCTTATGATCCATTTCCGCCGCCACCTCGGTATCTCATGCAGCCTCCTATGGCACTGCCACAACAAGCTTTTGCGGGTGAACCGGCTCAGTGCACGATTATGTGAATAATATTATTACTGTTCCAAATTAATAAATCAGGATCTTGGTATTTGTTTTTTGGCAGCACTAAAATTATCCAAGGTGAAGTTCCTTTTTTCTACATCACTATTTTGTTTGAAATGGAAACGGCAACCAGTATTTTGCTATCATCGTTTATTTATCATTATCTTGAATTTAAGGAAACTACGTCGTTTCGCGTTTGTAGATTCTGATATGAATATCATTAAACAAGTTTATGCATCTATCTTTCCGTGCAAGAGATGAAACAAATTTCTATCCCTATCTAAAGCATAAGTTAAGCTCCCAATGGGTGGTTTCATGCAGATTAAGTTAACTATCATCATTCTATGGTAATACTTGTGTGCCAAGTTATCTTCGATTTAATTTGCAGAAAAATCCAAATTCGGATCTCAATCTTTAAACCGGAAGATATGCATTAATTATTGAATTAAAAGCCGGATGGGAAGAATCACAATGATGATATATTTTTGTACTTATACTATGGATAAGAATAATTACAAATCTATAATATAAATAGAGTTTTTTTTATTAAGCTAAAGGTGATTACGGAGTAGTATATGTTCTAAGTACTCTCAACTATTTGAAAATTAACATTTAATCACTCTTACAGTCTCTGGTGGTCGAACACGTGACCTCTAAGAATAATAATAATTCTTTTAATCATTGAGGTAAATTGGTTCGTGCCTAATATAAATAGTTAATTGATTGAATAATTATATCTATGAATACAAATTAATATTCTACGAATTCACAGCTTCGTTTCTCATCTTATTAAAATACTGTAGAAAGTCAAAATTAATGGCTATTTAGTCATATTTTGCTGTAGCCGCCGGCTGCTTTGAGTAGTCAAATTTGGGATATTATTTTTATTGAATTAAGTAAGGGATAATTACAAATATTTAGTCCCTGAACTTTAGGGTATTTATAAGATTAGTCCTTAAGTTTCAACTATAAATACCCTATCCCATTTAGCTTAAAAATCATCCCAAAGCATTCTAGCTTTCTTCCAATACTAGAGAGAATTAGAGAGTTTCTTGAGAGTTGTTTTCTCCTTTTTATCAAGAGAGAACTATCATTGTTTTCTCCTTGGTAGATCGAGAGAAGTTGTAATTCCTATTTTCTCATAGTGAAATTCTTCTACCGTTGCCCGTGGTTTTTACCCTATATTATTTAGGGGTTTTCCACGGGCAACGGTAGAAGAATTTCACTATGAGAAAATAGGAATTACAACTTCTCTTGATCTACCAAGGAGAAAACAATGATAATTCTCTCTTGATAAAAAGGAGAAAACAACTCTCAAGAAACTCTCTAATTCTCTCTAGTATTGGAAGAAAACTAGAATGCTTTAGGATGATTTTCAAGCTAAATGGGATAGGGTATTTATAGTTGAAACTTAAGGATTAATCTTGTAAATACTCTAAAGTTTAGGGACTAAATGTTTGTAATTATCCCTTACTTAATTCAACAAAAATAATATCCCAAATTTGAATACTCAAAGCAGCCGGCGGCTGCAGCAAAATATGACTAAATTAGCCATTAATTTTGACTTTCTACAATCTCCCACTTGAAGATTTGATTGGAATAATCATATCTTCACACCATTCTTTTTACCTTGTACCTTCATGTTGCTTACGTTTCTGACAGGCCACAAGAGGATCGACACCAAGTAAATTTATCAGTATTGATCGCCTTCGTCATGAAATCTGCTATGTTGTCTTTGGTATGAATCTTCTGGATATCTACTGTCTCTTCTTCCACCTTTTCACGAATGAAATGGTACTGAACTCGTATGTACTTTGTCTTTGAATGAAATACTGGATTCCTTGCTAGATGCAAGGCGCTTTGACTATCATAGCACGTAAATTTTGTGTCTCTTTTATCTTTATTTTTATTTTCTCAAATTATTAGTTACGATTTTGCTCTATCTGATAGCCTTCTTCCACAACAAATACGATATTGATCGGATAAGTTCGAATATCAATATTTACTATCATTTTCAATATCAAAATGCCGCCTTATTTAAGAAAAAAAGTAAGTTCTTTAATGTTTGTAAACAAATATATGCACTTAGGGTTTTCTAGGATGATGATGTTTAATTTATAATAGTTAGGTTTAGGACATGTGGTTTAAAGTTTAGTGTTATGGTTTATAATTTACAGTTTATGACATTCGAATAGGATACATGACACTCTTAAAACTTGATTTGAGTATTACATTCATCCACATATCACTCGACTTGATATGGATTTAGGGAAGCTTCATCGACTCAAAACTTGATTAATTTTTAAGGTGAATATATATATATATATATATATATATATATATATATATATAGGTAAAATAGAGACTTAATTGAAAATACATATAGGGGGAAATATTATTACAATTATCTCTAAATATTTAAGAGATTATTATATATTATCTCGAACCGAGTTGGATTATATACTTTTCATCCTAAACATGACATGATCCGATCCATCTTTCAAAAAAAATCCTAATTCGACTCAATTTTTTTAAAAATAATCTTATAAAGTCGGATCGAGTCAAAATACATCAAATTTAGGTCAAATGACCATCTCTACCCCAATGTATGAAATAATTACCCTTTTACTATTATATTAAATTAAAATTTACAACTCTCTAAGGATTAAATATTAATTACACCATTTTTGGGGACAATGCTCTCCCCACTTCCCACCTTGTGTAAATAATACTGATATATTTTACTAGTGATACTAAATTTATTTTAGTATATTTTGCATAAAATTTATTAAACAATTACAGATTAAATAACGTCCATTATATATATATATATATATATATATATTATTTTATGTATTCATAATTTTATATTATATATTAATTTTTTCTTCTCTCTATATTTTAAAATCTACTAAATTATTTTCATATTCAAATTTAAAATCTTAATTATCATCTCCTAATAATATGATATATTTAATTTCAAAATTTTTTAAATTTTAAATAAATTTTATGTAAGATTTTGTATTTTATCATAAAAGAATAATTATTTAATATTTTATTTTGTTTATGTGTCAAAACACGAGTGCATTCTGTTTACGGTAGCCGAGAAACAGCGAATAATTAACAGAAATGAAAAAAACTGTTTGGAAGTTCTTTATAAGGTAAAAAACTCAAGACCGTTCATTTCTTGGTTTTCCCTTTTACTTTCTTTGGCGAAAATGGATCCCCTTTCTATTCCTTCAACCTCTCTCACTTTCTATATATAAATCAACCGTACAGATATGCATTTCTTAACTCGTTGAAGGGTTAACTTCCTAGTGTAAAATCTGAGGGTGGCGCGGGTTAAAGTCATAAGCTTTGAAAGGATAATGGAGTTCTTTCATTGACAAACCGCGATACCTTGCTTTTTAACGGGTGCGTGTTTCTGGGTTTGTTTTCTTTTTTGGGTTCATCGATTTCTGTTTGATTGGTGTGTTTGTTTGCATTTCTGGGTCAATGGGGTGTGTTTGTTTTCTGTTCCATTGGAATTGGATCGTGGAAAAGGAGTTGTTTTTGTAATAGTTTCCAAGGAATTCCCAGTTTTTGTTGATTGTTTATATGTTAAAAAATCAATGTGTAGGATGGTTTGTTGTTAATGTTCATGATCATGGGATCTAAATATGAGTTCTTGATTTATAGGGATGGTTTCAAGAGAGATTCTTGTTATCTTGATGCTAATAGGATCTAAAGATGAGGCATTGATGTTGTTTTCTGGTTTTCAGATTCTGGGCTTGAGAAATCTGGTTGGAAAGTTTGGCTGATAGGTTAAATTCCCAGTTCTGTTGATTGTTTATAAGTTAAAAATCAATGTGTAGGATGGATTGTTGTTAATGTTAATGTTGTGATCTAGATATGAGTTCTTGATTTATAGGGATATTTTTTATATGTTAAGATGCAATTTATAGGGATGGTTTCATGAGATATTCTTGTTATCTTGATGCTAATAGGATCTAAAGATGATGCATTGATGTTGTTTTCTGCTTTTCAGATTCTGGGCTTGAGGAATCTGGTTAGAAAGTTTGGCTGCTAGGTTAAATCAGAGTGTATTTTGGATCCGGCATTGGCCATTGGTAATTGGATTCTGGATTCATTTTATGTAACTTGCAGACGAACTTTCGGCTAGATATTCCTTGTCTCTGCTCAGATAATCTTTAGATATGTCTACGAGAAAATCAGGTGGTTCAAAGAATACATCGGCGGTCCTGAAGGCCGCCGCAGCCAATACAATCATCGAATCAGAAAAAAACACTTATGTTAGACACATAAACATTTATCTTGCCGATGATCCATTTTTAAAGCATTTTCTTCCAATTGATCCAGCTACCAATGACCTTTTCGAACTTGCAAAAGATGGAGTACTTTTATGGTATTTTTATTGATGACTCATTATGTAATTGCTCTTTTATATATATATATATATAAAATATGGACAATGGTTTTATTCTTGTTTACTTTTGCAGTAAGCTTATAAATATTGCTGTGCCTGGAACAATAGATGAACGAGCTATTAACACGAAAAAGGTACTTAACCTATGGGAGAGGAACGAGAACCATACCCTTGGTCTCAACTCTGCAAAGGCTATTGGCTGCACCGTGGTAAACATTGGCACCCAGGATTTAGTTGAAGGAAGGGTTAGTACGGATAGACAAATTCCTATGCGAGTTAGAATGATTTTTTCTGATTATCTGATAGTTCTGACCTTGGTTACTTGTATTGCAGCCTACCCTCTTGCTCGGTTTGATCGCTCAAATTATAAAGGTTGCATTTAAAATGTTGTGATAGACCGAAAAAAGTAGGATGTTAGGTTGTTTGCTGGTAAACTTTTTCTAATCCATACTAGTGACAACTGCAGATTCAACTGTTGGCAGATCTCAACCTTAAGAAGACACCTCAGCTCATAGAAGTGCTGGAGGATGGCAATGGAGTAATCTATTTCTTTATCCTGTGATTGATGTTTAACTAAGGATTAATTAATGAAACAGACAATTCTTTCAAACAAACCAACTGACTTGTTTCTGTTTGAATTATTGATACTTGCAGGATATTGAGGAACTTATGGGGTTATCTCCTGAGAAGGTTCTACTAAGATGGATGAATTACCATTTAAAGAAAGGGGGCTATGAGAAAACTGTTACAAACTTTTATTCAGATCTCAAGGTATTTTGTGGATCGAGGTGGATGCTCATACAGAAATTAGATTGCATTGCTTTATTTTGCTTGAATTGGTACTTTAATGTTTTACTCATTTCCATACCTTCAGGATGGAAAAGCTTATGCTTACCTGCTTAATGTACTAGCACCGGAGTTCTGCAATCCATTGACCCTTGATACGGTGGATCCTACCGAAAGGGCTACACTGGTACTTGACCATGCAGAGAAAATGGGATGTAAACGATATTTAAACCCGCAGGACATTGTTGAGGGCTCATCAAACTTGAATCTTGCATTTTTAGCTCAAATCTTTCATCAAAGGTGAGAAATCACTAACTGAAAGGGCTACACTGGTACACTGTCCTCACCGCATGTCTATCTCTAGTTTTATATTTTGGTAATAAAATCAAGTATGCATTTGCAGGAATGGCCTGAGTTTAGACGGCAAAAAGCTTTCTTTTGCAGAAAGGATGACAGATGATGTGCAACTTTCGAGAGACGAGAGATGTTTCCGACTATGGATGAACAGTCTTGGAATCGAAACTTATGTTAATAATCTCTTTGAGGATGTTAGAAATGGGTAAGTTTTCGAAGCTACTTTGCAACTTCACCTTATGAAGTAAGGCATCGTAGTTTAGTAGATCAGTATTTCAACCATCAACATAAAGAGCTTGATTTTGATATAGATGGGTACTTCTAGAGGTGCTTGATAAGGTTGCTCCTGGTTCAGTCAACTGGAAGCATGCAACGAAACCTCCAATTAGGTTTCCGTTTAGAAAGGTGGAGAATTGCAACCAAGTCGTAATGATCGGGGAGATGTTGAGATTTTCCATTGTGAATCTTGGCGGAAATGATATAGTGGAAGGAAATAAAAAACTTATTGTCGGTAATTTCCTCTGGTCTTTATTTAATATGGTTCTCTTCACGGCTTGGCATGTTTTGCCTCAATTACAAAGTTCAACGAGTACTTTTTAATAAAAAGAACCCGTGTCGGGTGTAAATTGAATACCTAAACCTTCATGAAAAGGCTGAAAGTTGCTTTCCATCTTTCAATGTATGTAGTGTTGATCCTATGTATTCTGTCATTTGAGCGTTCGTTACATTGTGTTACAGCTTTCCTCTGGCAACTGATGAGGTACAACATGCTTCAAGTTTTGAAGAGCTTGAGAGCTCGCTCCCGAGGGAAAGAGATAACTGATTCATATATCATGACTTGGGCAAACAGGAAAGTTAAAAGCACTGGACGATCCCGTAAAATAGAAAGCTTCAAGGTTTCAAAACGATTGCCATTTTGTCTTATAATAATAATATCGATTGAATGATTTAAATTATACCTTGTTCTAAATCTGCAGGATAAGAGCCTCTCGTCTGGACTGTTCTTCCTTGAACTTTTAAGTTCCGTGGAGCCAAGAGTTGTCAACTGGAACCTTGTAACCAAGGGTGAAAGTGGTATGACTACTTGCTAACTCGAATTAATTTTTTGAATGGATTATTGGTGACACTATTTATACTTAGAATTAAGCAAAGATGTTCTCTCATCTTTGTCGGAGAAAATGTTGAGATCGAGCCAAACTTAACAGTTTTTGTCCCTTTTGGAGTTGTAGACGAAGAGAAGAGGTTGAATGCAATATATATCATAAGTGTGGCTCGTAAAATCGGATGCTCCATCTTCTTGTTGCCTGAGGACATCATGGAGGTAATGCCACATTGTGAATCTCGTATTTGAATATCTGCAAATGATCATAAATAGAAATAATCAAATTTCTGGAGTAAATTGAAAATTTGAGAGTTCTCAAATGGATGTTCTTATGGGATGTGGCAGGTAAACCAGAAGATGATGCTCACTTTAACGGCCAGCATTATGTGCTGGTGCCTCCAAAACGCACCGGATGAGACTGAGTCTGAGGCTGGTAATGGCTACAGTAGTGCTTATACATCGGACACATCTCCGCCAGCATCCACAATCGGTGAAGACGAAAGTTCCTCGCTGTGTGCTGAAATCCCAAGCTTAAACATTGAAAGTTCCTCGCTGTGCGCTGAAATCCCAAGCGTAAACATTGAAAATTCCTCGCCAGGTGCTGAAATCCCAAGCTTAAACATTGAAAGTTCCTCGCCGGATGCTGAAATCCCAAGCCTAAACATTGAAAGCTCCTCGCCGGTGCTGAAATCCCAAGCTTAAACATTGAAAGCTCCTCGTCGGGTGCTGAAACCCCAAGCTTAAACATTGGAAGTTCCTCACCGAGTGCTGAAATCCCGGACGATGCCGCCTCGGACATCACGGTCTCATCACCGCAGTTTGAGAATGGAGATGCTCTCGTCGAGAATGGGCAGACCATGTAGGAAGTGAAAGAGTAATAAGTGTCGGAAAATGAGTTTGTTTTCATCGTATTTCGGGGGATGATATATATTCGTACTCGTGCCGAAATATAGGAGGTGGTAGACATTGATGCTAGCGATATGAAGAGTCGGAGTAACATAGATCACAGGTTGTGGAAATGGCATGCTTCCTACTAGTCCTTGAGAAATTGCTTTATTTTTTCCCTTCTTTTCGGATGTGAACAAATAGTTGAAGAGGAAAATTACCAAACGCCTAACTTTCTCACACGCCTGGAACCAGTAAGTGTTGGTATTTCACCGGTCAATTGTATTTCTGATTTTTTATTTTTTGGCAATAAAAGCACAAATTATTATAATATTTTATTTTATTTTAAATTAATATATAATTAAATTCTTACCATAGTGATAATAAAAAGGGGTAAATTCCCATTTATACTATGATTCTAACGAATTATTAATTGAGCATATTCGTTGTAGTTCCTTCTTTATGCATAGTTCAATTAATCACAAGATTTCCCATTTATACTATGTTTCCTTTTATATATATATATAAGTCATTCAGATCTGATATAAATCGAGTCAATTCAAATTAAATTATGTTTAGTTAGATTGTATTTAGATATCTAACGTTACAAACGTTATCACTTTAGGTGTATCGACTTTAATTGTTATTAAAATATGATGTTAAAAATAATATTTTAGAAAAATGGAAAAAAAAACTCGTCCAACCGTATCAGCCTCGCAAATCTTTTTCTCAAATTATTGAACTGCAAAAGGTGACCAAATGATCAACTGTCACGACCAACCAAATGGTTAAAAGGTTGACTGTCACGATCGGTAATATAGATTAAGGAGATTTTTAGAGATTTGAATGTTTGAAATTTTAGGGATTTAAGTTTGAGAATTTAGGGGAGTGGAATGATTGCTGGTCACTGGTTGCTCGTTGATGACTAGGGTGGTTGGCAATGGCTGTGATTGGCAAAGGAGGTAAGGTTAGGGTTCGAGTAAAAGATTTAGATTTTTAGGGTTTAGGGTCATTTCGACCAAAACATCTAATATGGTAACGTTTGTAACATTAGGTCCTTGAATTGATAAAAAAAGTTTAAACACAACTTAGGAAAAGTGGTATAATTTGGACATTTTTTACATATTAAAGCTAAATGAAATTTCAAACGAGGTTAAATGTAGAACATGTGACATTAAATATTAACAAATAATAATATCTAGAAGTTAGTATTTAGAATTTAAAAAATATGACAATGTTTAATAATTATTTGTAGATTAAAAAATTTCACCAGTACTATATCAGATATTAACCCATTCTAAGTTAACATCTTGTAATTTTTGGGAACAACTTTTAATTAGTGTCATATATAGTGATTAATATGTGTTTAGTCAAGTCAGATTGAATTTTAGTCATACTCGGAGTTGACCTAAATTTAATACTATCAATTCGTCATTCAATTTGACCCGAGTTTAGAGAAATTTCACTAGACTCAAAATTCAACTCAGTTTTTGGTAAAAACTCACACCCGACGCAATACACACACATATATATATATAATTCTCATTTTTATTTAGTAAAATAAGAACTTAATTAAAAATATAAAGGAGTATTATTACAATTATCTCTAAATATATAATAAATAATTATACAATTATCTCAGGTTGAAAAATTTTCACCCAAAACCAATCAATCCAATTATCCAATCTTATCTTTCAAAAAATTCAACTCGACCAAAATCGAACCGAATATATATATATTAAATTGATCCTATTAAATTGGGTTAGAACTTGTTAAATTCGGGTCCCATACCCATCCATGTTATATACGAGGTGAAGGCTCAAGGCTAAAGAGTAGTGAATAAATATTAGTGAAAAGAAAGAAAGCTATGGAAGTAGAGAGTGAGCTAAAGAGCTTGATTACAGTAGGGCTCTTCACATATGTATCCTTAACCTATTGTTACCGCATTGCAGCAAAGATCCCAAAGGGCTTGCCTAGGCTCCTTGCCCTCCTCCCGGTTATGATCATACTATTCATCATCCCCATCAACCTTCACTCCATCTATCTAGGTCATCCTCTAGTCCTTTGTCTCTCTTGCCACACCAACTTCAACCTCCTAGCATTCGCCTTCGATTGAGGCCCCTTATCGCCGCCAAAGGCGGTGGCTCTCGATGTTTTCATCCTCACAGCTTGTTCTCCATGCAAAATCAAACAACCCCATCACTCCAAAGTGCCTTTAGATTTGATCCTAGAGGCTGCAAGTAAAGGTTCATTACGGATAGTTTTAACCTTAGTTTCTTATAGTTACAAAGAGTGTTTCCACAAACTTGTTTGGTCACTCCTCTTTGGATTCCAAGTTTGGCTTGCAGTAGATGTTCTTTTAACCATGGTTGTAATCCCAGCTCAGGTGATTAGGGATGAATTGAAGGGTCGATGGGAGTGGTCGTTCTTTTTCATTTGTTTTATATTTTTTTTATAGTATTTTCTAATAACAGTACGTTTTCACTCCCTACAATTTTTTAAAATTACGTATTTAGTCACCTAATCACTTTTTTAAATCATATCTAAAATTATATTTTGATCATCCGTCATTAAAAAAATTAACGATGATGTTAATATGTTATCATAAGGTAATGTTACGTCATCATTGAAAAATAAAAAAAAATTACTATATCAATAGTTTTGTTTTTTAACGGCGGATGACCAAAACATAACTTTATATATGATTTTTAGAAAAAAATAATTATGTGACTAAAACAAAATCGTGAAAATAGTTAAATAACTAAATACTATTCAATTTTATAATTTCAGTCTATCTAAAATTTTATAATTTTATCCTCTAATATAAAATTTTACTTTCGACCTGTAGGTAATCCTTAGGGTTGAACACGAGCCGCACTTCAAATCACCTCACTTGGCCTCATCGTTGCAAGACTTCTGGGGCCGTAGGTGGAACCTCAGGGTATTGGAGACGCTCCGTCTCGTCATCTACTACCCGATACGAAGTGTTTCTATACGTATAATCGGAGATCGATCGAGTTCATTACCGCCTGTTTTCGTAACGTTTGCCGTCTCCGGTCTGATACATGAACTGCTGTATTACAGCATATTGCGTGCAAAACCTACGTGGGAGATAACTTGGTTCTTCGTTTTGCATGGGGTTCTCGTGGACATGGAGATTATATTGAAGAAGAAGGTCAAGCTGAGGCTTCACAGGGCGATTACAGGACCATTGGCTATGGCGAATCTGACACTCACTTCTGTCTGCTTAGTTCTTGCACCGCTCTTGAGAAATCGTGTAGACGAAAGGATAATCCACGAATTCTACCTCTTTCTGGATTTCTTTTTGAGCTTATTTCCGAGTAAAGTGTATCCGAGATCACTGAAATTTCAAAAAGTTATAAAATAATTATTGTATTTACTAAATTATTATTATAAAATTATAATAACTGCGATGTTTCTATAAATTTATGATATTTTATAATAATTTGATAAAATTTAATATAAAATTTATAACAGTTCGATAAATTTAATATAAAATTTATAACATTTCGATAAATTTAATAATTATCCTATAATGGTTTAATAAATTTAATGATCATTTTATATTTTTTTTAAAGTTTACTAATTAAATAATCATTTGAATAAATTTGATAACCCATAATCATGGTTGTAAATGAGACTGAGAAATATCGCAAGCTATTTGAATTAAATTCGGTCAAAGTTTGGTTAATACTTGATTTGCATGGACTCAATTCGAGCTCTTAATGAATCGAAATGAGCTATTTGATGTCCGACTTGAAAAGTTCATGAACAACTCAGAAAATAATATATTAATATTTTATTTTTTAAAATTAAATTATTAATATATTAATATTTATATGTTATTTTAAAAAAATACATTATAAGATTTCCATGTACTTAAGTTTCAGGTTTGAGCACGAATTTGAACTTGAATCGAGCTCGAATTTGAACTTCATTCGAACTAAAGTCTAAAAATATTTTGATATTAAAGCTTTGAACAACATGCACTCCATATAGTTTATTAAAAAACAACCTAGTTGACTCATTTATGTGTTTGATAATAAATGGTTTATTAAAAAAATTATAATTTGGTCATTCAATTAAAATATTATTATAGCATGTCGTCGATAGTTAAAATTAAAATATATGTCTAGTATTGCTTGATATAATAATTATTTTAATCCCTAAAACTTATTCTATCAATTCGATCATAATTTGAAATAATTTAATAAAGTTAAGTTTTTTTATTATTTTAATTTTTTATGATTGTATCAAATTAAAGAAAATAACATGAAAGTAATATAATTTTGAGTAAAATATATGAATGGTCCCCCGACTATAAGATGTTATTTTATTGAGCCTCCGACTATTAAAAATTACAAAATAGTTTCCTGACTATAGGATTTTGCTTTATTGAGTCTCCCGACTATTAAAAGTTACAAAATGTTATCCCGACTTTGTTTTGTTGAGTCCTCCAACTATTAGAAGTTACAAAATAATCATTGACTATTCATATGTTTCAAATCCGTCCTTTTATGTTAAAAATTGACGATCGTTTGAGCTAGATATTAATGTGTTGATCGAGATATAATTAAATCGTATTCTAATGATGTTTACTAGCATCGATTGCTTTTAAGAACTAGCTTGACTGTAACACCCCCAACCCGTACCCGACCCGGATACGAGTCTGAGGTGTCACATTGACTTTTCAAACTTTGACTCTTGACAAAATTCAAAGAAAATTTAAAACTTTCATTATAGTAAAAGCAGTTTAGTTACATAATTTGACCACAATAACTAAAATCGATCAGAGCATATTTAACTCAATCAATTAGTACATGCCAACTATATTCAAAATAACAAAAATCATTTAACTCATCTATTTTCTGATCTGAAATCTTGTAAGGGAGATACTGACCTGTATTGCTCCTCACAGCTTCTATATTCACTTTATGTAACCTGCGTGTGAAACACTCACACGCTAAGTCGATGACTTAGTGAGGCATAAAGAAAACACATCTAATGGAATTCATACCCACTAATCATGCATGACTGTTTTATGCTATCAAATTATACAACTCATTTACATATACATCAACATATATTCATGTATATTATGTAACAGATACCATATCCCCTATCACACATATATCATATCATGCAATTCATATCACACATCATATACATATATCACATACATTGTTCTCATATCACCAACCTGTTTATCCTTACTAATTCCCTTGTCATTACTTCAATTCCGTCATATGAGCATATAATGGATATAAACATATTATATATATTTTAATATGCCTCAATACGTTACTAATTTCTATAATCATATAATACATAAACACATAGCATCTCATATCACCATGACATATATGCACTTCTACCATGTCACGAGAAATACACATATCATTATATCAAATTATGCTCTCTTTTCAAAGCCCATGTACACATGTGAGAACTATAGATATGTGAGTCTATAGAGGTTGTGCACTATACTGTCACCACAGCTCGTATAATTGCACCGAAGTGCCACGTAGAATTGCACCGGAGTGCCGCGTAGAATTGCACCGTAGTGCCATATAATAATGTCCATAAGGACCACATATCATTCCTTAAGAATCATATACATATACTAGGGATCAAGTATGTGTCTCACCATACTTCACACATGTTCCAAAGAATACATATATGTCCCGAAGGACCACATATCATTCCTTAAGAATCATATACATATGCCAAGGATCAAGTATGTGTCTCACCAAACTTCACACATGTTTCAAAGAATACATATATATCCCGAAGGACCACATAGACCCTCGACTCTTGGCATACCAACTATACCCCTAGCTCTCATGACACATAACATGGGCATTAATATTTATGTTAACATACATTCACATATACACATAGTCATGTAGTTCTTTCACATAGTTCATCGTCATATAAATCACATATCCCATATACATATAAACACATGGTTCACTTACGCGTAGAACATTTTCATATAATCGCATAGTCATATAATATTTCATATAACATATATTTTCTCTTTCATATATCTCATATCATGTATCATATCTTGTGATCATATAATCATGTTACTTATAATCACATAACTTCTACTCATAGGGTTCAACATCATTAAACTTAGTTCACTTTTTCATATTATCATACATTTATATACTCTTATATGTCCTATCAATAACCTATAAACTTACTCATATTCTCATATATACTATTTTAATATAATTTATAGTAATATTCTATAATTGTATCATATAATGATTTTACCCAAGTACTCCTTTATAAAGTTTATATTACAGGTTCAATTAGTATCATTCTATCATATAAATAATTTCCACTTATTTTATATCATTTTCCCTTTTCACTCACATAAACCATCTATTTATTTAGTTCAATTTCTCATAACTTCCACAATACTCTTTAATAAAACTTTGTAGCTCTTCACTTTAATACATAAACCATAATTTCCTTTAATTTATCAATCTTCTCTATATAACTTATGTATCCTTATTTATGCCCTCGAATTCATACTATTCTCTTAGAGTCTCCTAACATTTCTCGTATAATCACTTATACCATATCATATGACTTATACTTGATTATCTTATTCTCTCATGTTCATTTCATTTCTTATGACTCTATCATATAACTTATTCCATGTTCTTCCATTATTACATAATAAAGTTTTACATAAATCATATAGCATATACAAAGCATATCATTATCTTTAGTCATGCATACATACAATCAATGTAATACATATAATCACATATAGTTATAACCAACACATAATCATGTCTATGACTTCATGCATATTACTCTAGGAAATAGATTCATCGCAAGTCTTATTTCCATTAAACACTACATGTCACTAGTATGCACTCACCTTGGCCTCACTAGTCAATTCCAATCTCTTATCTTTCCCTTGATCGATCTTACTTGCCAAATGTTCCGGAATTGCTTTACGCGCAGAATCTATAAATGTACATTTTGAGGCAATCATTAGATACCTACACATTGTAATTGGATACTAGCAACTTAAACGAACTTATTAAACCCATATTCACATTTTTCCTTTAGGGGTAATCGGTTCCCTCCTGTGGGGGAATCGGTTCCCCTATGAGATTCTGGAATTTCTGGTTCGTTTGAGGGGGTATCGATTCCCCTTGAATGGGTATCGATTCCCCTAACCCATAAATCATATTTTCAACACGAAATTTACTTCATTTCATCTTAAACACTTCATATTTCAACCTCTTTTATATACTAAACTCAAACACACATACTTAAGCCCATTTGTACTCATTTAACCCATCTTAATTCTCAAAATCCTCTCATCTTAATGAAATTCAATAATTATACTCAAATTTCAACATGTTCTAAATTCATTTCTATCACTCCAAATCTCTTAATTCAACTATTGACAAGTCAAATTCAACTTAAAATTCAACTTATCAACTTTATTTCAAGATTTCATTCAAAAACTCAAAATCTTTAATCTCTCCTAATTCCACCATCCTTTGCTTTTAAGATGATTTAAGCTTTCCTTAAGCTTAATTATCATCCAATAATCATAACCAAATCCTAAATTCAGCTAAATATCAACTAACAAGAGATCTTACCTTTGCTTATGGCTTCACGGTGGAAAAGAAGAGAATGAAGAAGAGAAGTCTGGAACTCTCTCATTTTCCTACGTTTATAATTCTCAAAAAAGGAAGATAAAAATCTTTCCCATGAAAAAACCATTTTGCCCCTTTAGTTCATCCATCTTTGCTATTTAATCCAATATTAAAATTATTTACTTAAATCCCGAGACTTTTAATTTCATTTCTAAATTGAACACAAAACCTTCAAAGTTTGCAATTTAGTCACTGACCCTGATTTGGGATGTTACATTGACGACATTATGTAAACAGAGAGTCGATCCATAAAATATAACTCAAACGGTTATGGGATCGGATTTTGTCATTTCTCAGTCAATATGTTAACATCCAACTCAGATAATCATTAATCTTTTTAATAGAAAATGACGAGTTTAGAACATATAAATAGTCGAATGACCATTTTGTAACTTTTAATAGTAAAAAAACTTAAAAAAAAATCACCCTATAATCATTTTCACATCTCACCATTTTTTTTCGCATGTACTATCAATTTGTCATCATAAATGCAGGCAGGATAGAGAAAATCAGAAAAAGATGCTCAAACGAATGCAAATATAATGAGAAGATGGAAAGAGACATGCAAACTAAAGAGGAGGCCTTGGGCACATCCAGATTAATTACCTCGACCCGAGGATTACAGTTGCATGGTGCAAGCGGCACGAGGTCCCCATTGACAAGGTAAACACTATTTGTTAACAATAGTCGGCGTGACACATTGATCAATTTATGTTCATTTCTTATTTTATTGCTTCTGGCAAAAACTCTCCGGTCACCTCCGACTGGAATCACACCACCTGTTTACCCAAGAGAACACCGTTAACTCCACCGTCGAATTTCAAGCTTCTCCATTACAAAAACCTTCACTCTATCGATTGTAACAACCACCGAAAACCCATTTTCCAACTCAATCCGAACAGCTACCTGCAGCCCTTCCACCTCAGCTTCCCTCATCATTCAACCAGCGGCGCTTCTGCCACCAACCAATACCCCCACCTTGCTAAACTAAACTCCACCGTGTGAACCCATCACTCTGTCACCTTCCATTCAACAGTATTCTTGAATGTGTCATGAATGAATGATCTAGCCCATATGGAACCATCAACCATTTTGGAATTTCAAATTTAGGAGGGGGAAAAAAGGTAGATTAACCAAATTTTTGGATATAAAAAGTTAAATTTATTAAATTATTTCAATTTAAGAAATTTTGGTAATTAAGATTATTATTATATCAAGTCCACATTAGATGTTTGTTTCAATTTTGACCGTTAATAATTTATTTGTAATAATTTTCTAACTGACATGTTTATAATTTTTTTAAAAAGGTGATTTGATTGTTACTAATCACATAATTTAGTGACCTGATTTTAACTTTGATCATATATTTAAAAAGTCGTACAATGTCTGCCAAGAATATATAATGAATATATTTATTATTTTACTTTGGAAAAAGAAATCATACAAGAAGCTCTCCTGACCTTGTGGTATCTTATATGCGGCAATTAAACAAGAAATCGGTGGCCGAAAATATAAATAAAGGGGGGAAATGGTTTTCAATGACTAAGCTGACACTATATCATCAAGCACCGGAGCCTTAGTCACTCTTGTTGTTCTCGGCTGCATCATTATTGAGCGCTTGAGCGACGCCAACCTCGGCTGGTCGAATTACCCTATCATAGAGCATGTACCCTGGCTGTAATAAGAGGGAAACCAGCAAACACTTCTATTAGTAACTTCCGACTTCCAGCCATGTTGGGATGTATCCCCGTATCCGACATTTACATTCGAGTCGGATAAACATAAACTAATGACCAATTGACCACTTAAGCTGTTCAAACAGCATTGTGTAATTAAACAAGGATGATAAAAGTTGAAATGGTAATCAAACTTAAACAATGTGCTTGATTTTGATTATCAAGCTATAGTTCTTCAACCAAACATTAATATGACTATCACATCAAATAAACAAATGAATATAACTATACCTTCAAAACATGAGCAACTGTGCCGGGAGACTTAGAATTATCCGGTACTTGGAACACCGCATTGTGCCTGTGTGGATCAAATAGTTCATTTTCAGGATCGAATTTTTCCACGCCAAACTTCCTAAATACCTGGAAGCGAAAAAATTATATCCAGTTAGTAACGAATTTAATATCTTATAGAACACATGTAGAAGCCAAATCATTGTCAAAGCGAAAGAAGAGACAAAAACTTTAAGCATTAGCTAAGCACACTAATTTGTGTTATAATTATCCAGATGATGTCCGATGGTTGAAGCGAATTCAGTTTGCCAAAGTTTCCCCTTTACCCAAGAATAAATGTGGAAACTGAACAAGTTGAAGTTTAGGAACTCTAACAATATGTACCTCTCCAAGCTGCTTCTCAGTCATTTCAACTCCTTCTAGAAGTGTTCTTAGGAGAGGTAAGGCTCCAATGGTGTCCTTGGATTCATCAATCTTAGTGAAACTGCCTTCAACATGCGAAGAAGCCCGTCCTAGGTTGTCTGCAACATCTAGTAGACCCTTCGCAAAATTCTGCAGCACATTCACAAATGACTCCTATAATTTTCAGAGAACTCCAAATATAACAGAAAATCAAGTGGTCATTAACTCATCATGTCACCAATGGTACCTGCACAGAAAATTTTTTCGAGTTCTCCGCTTCACGTCTTGTTCTTGCCATAACATTCTCCATTTCTGCCAGAGTGCGAACAACTTTGTCCTTCATTTGTTCTATCTCCTTTTGCTTTGCCTCCATGAGTCCTTCTTTCTCCTCCACAAGTTTGAGCATATCAGCCACTGATAGCTCCCCATCACTCTGGGAACCTGAATCAGAAAAAAAAACAGTTTACTAATCGGCTATACTCCTTTAATCAGATCGAGGCATTGTATTTTGAGATCCCGAGTTAAAACCTGATTCTTTTGCCTGATCAGTAACTTCAGCCTCTCCAGGATTTGTACCACCACTTGGATTTATAGGCTCTTGACTGTCATTTTCTACACCACCCCCATGTTCCTTCTCGGAAGGCTCGGGGGACGCAGACGAAGATATAGCAAAGCGTTGGAACGTAGAGAAACTGAGGCTCCAACGATGTAGCAGAGTCGTTTCACTTGTCATATACAGAGAAAGGCATATAAAGATATAATTAGTTATGTTCTGAAGGAACCAAGATATGGATTTAAGATCCTACATGATCACCAAAACACTTAAAAGACAACCTTAAAGCGAACAAGAACAGCTTATAAATCATTAATGTAAGAACAATTTTCTCCTTCGTTACATTTGATTCATGACAATAACAAAAAAAACTGTATCTTTTATTCACAAGCACACAACGAAAACATCAAATTTGAAGGGGCAAAAGAAAACATCAAATTAGATTAATTCAAACCCTTTTAACGTAGAAACAAATGTCACATAATTCCAGCATGATAGAACAAAATACACAACAAGACGACAGTACAGAGAGGAAAAAGTCAGGGAAATAAGCTAATTTAAGCAAAGCCCTTAAACCCTAGCAAATTCTTTCCTCACAAATAACCACAAATTGCAAAATTTTAGTACCTTATTAGGAGATTCATAAACGAGAGAGTGAAGCTGAGTAGAAAAGCTTGATGTTTGAAGCTTCTTGGGAGGATGGAGAAGCAAGGATCGTGCAATGACCGTCCTAGGAACGCATGAAAAAGCCTAGACACCAACATCTGCGAAAGAAGAATGAAGGAAAACGGAAGGCGAATCAAGGAGGTTTAGGGTTTTAGAGTGCCTAGATTGGAAATATAAAATGAAAAATGGGGTTTTAGAGTGCCTAGATTAGAACTATAAAATGAAAAATGGGGTTTTAGATAGAGGAAGGGGAAGTAAACGTGGACGTCCGTGGAGAGCAAGAAAAGATTTTGAGAAGGTGAGTGGAGAGCAAGAAAGATAAAAAAGACTAAACTATACTGATGATCATTTAACTATTAATAGATTCTATTTTTACCACTTAATTGTTGGGAGATTTTATTTTGATCACTTAATTATTGGGAGATTCTATTTTGACCACTTATCTTTCAATTTTGTCAATCAAACTACTTAACTATTTAAATGATGACAATCAAGTCACTTCTCACTAATATTTAACAAACTATTTGACATGAATGTTAAAAAGATTAATACAGTTACGCATTTGATTCTCATTACTTATATATTTTATCAATTTGATTGTAATTATAATTTAATTTAATAAATTTAATCTCTAACTAGATTGTGACATACGTCACCACTTGTTTAAGAAGAAAACAAATTAGAGAAGAAAAGATGCCTGCAAGAGATTGGACATAGGATAAGGGGAGTTCAGGCACACTTTAACGACCGTGATAAACCTCATATTTGACATTGAATTACAGAATCATGTATATATTCTATTTCATATATACAGGATCCAGATTTAATATTAAATTTTCAAAAAAAAAATAAATTTATAAATTCAAATTAAATTAAAATATACCGAATCCAAGTATAATATCTAACCCTAATTCTCTGTAATCGGAAGATGAGGCATAAGATCTCTTTGTAAACAAAATACAAGGGAAAGGCAGACATGAAGATGAATACATTACCTATATATGCCCCATTTTGTATTATTGTGATTAACTAAACCTAAAATTGAAGTCCCAAGAGGGAGGCTGCTGCATGATGCTAGTCTGGGATGATTACGAGGTGATGTTAATCTCTGTTCATCTTAGATCTAAATTAATATGATTTTAATATTTTTTTAATGAATTCAAGTGTTTAAACTTTTTTATTAATTTGATTTCAGTTGAACTTGAGTTTTTTTATATTTATATATATTATATAAAAATGATGAAAATAAAACTTTTATATTTTAAAGAAATATTATATCACCCCAAAAATAATTTACATCTTTAAAGAAAATTGCATTTAATCATTTTATCTCACTATATAAAAAAACTCTCAAAAATATTTTCTAAATTTGACATCATATTTTCTTTAATTTTGTTATTTATGATGGACACGTGTTGAACACGACAGACTTTTGGTCATTTTAAATTTAATGTAAAAGATAAAAAAAATTTATGAACTTGCCTGACATTTGATGATTTTTCATTCGAATTTAATTTTATCATAAAAGTTTGTCTATAACCTTACCTAATACAATTTTTTCCCACATTTTTATTCGAGAAAATAAAAACATAATTAAAAAGATAAAGAAATGTGTTATAATAATTGTGAATATATATAAAAAATGAGAATCATATTATTATTTCATGTTGAGTTAAAAAAAATCTTTAAATATGACCCGATTTTATGTTTTATAAAATCTAATTAGACTCAAATAAAATTAAATTTAAATAAAAGTATTTTCAAGTCGAATCAAATTTCATTAAATTTGAATAAATTCTTCATCCCTATCCACCAATGACGGTGGCACCACATGCCGTGCACTCCGGGCATCATAGGGTTTGTTTTTTTTTTTTTTTTTGGCTTTTTTCCATTTGGAATTTGGCTAAATTTCCCCTAAATTTGGGTTGGGACATGCACTTTTTTTTATATAAAAAAAAAGTTTTGGAATTGACGTTAATTGCCTTTATGGGTTAAATTTTAAGAATACTACAACTTTTAGTCCTTCAGTTGATTTTTTCAGTTTTTCTCTAAATTGTTTTTAATTTTTAATCTCGATTATTTGTTTATTGAATCTTATCTCATATAGATAAATTATTAATCATTATATGTGAGAGTTAATTAAATCACGAATCATATATTAAACTTGATTAGTCACTAGTTATATCTTCTAGTTTCCTCGCATTGGTACGTCGTTCATATCTTCTTCTTTTTTGTCTTTATTGATTGGCAATATCAATTTTAATATTGGTTACCAACCGTCGATATTCTTTATTTTCCTTTTATTTTCTCTTGTTTTTTATTTTCAATAAGTATGTTTGTATGACATGTTTTCATCTGTCTTTATAAAACATTTTCTTCTGCTTTTTGGCATATTTTTCGGTCTTTTGGTCGTTGTTGTAACACCCCAACCCGTACCCGACTCGGATACGAGTCTGAGATGTCACATTGACTTTTTAAAACAATTTTCTTAACAAAATACAGATCATTTGGACTTATATTAAGAAAATATGATAATATATTGTTGAATTGTATTCGTTATAACCAATTTAAGAAAATATACGTTTTTATGAATAGTACAATCACACGCTAAGTCGTTGACTTAGTGAGGCATATAAAACATATAATAACACTATATAACATTTCATATAACAAAATGCTTACATATACATGTATCATCATCATCATAATCTCTATTTATCATATGATTTTATACTTATCATTTCTGTATATCATATAACACACATAACATCATATAATTCATGTAACATATTTCATATCACTAAAAACATATACATCACATATATTGTATTTGTTATTGTCTCCTTATTAGTCCATGTATATTATTAAGAACTCAAGATATTCGAGTACATTGAGGTTGTGCACTATGCTGTCACCACAGCTCGTATAAGTCCTACTTAGTGGCATATGAAATTTTGTCCCGAAGGACCTATATACTGTATTTGTCCCGAAGGATCGCGTAGACCCTCGACCCTTGGCACGCCAACTATCCAACTATACCTATAGCTCTCGTATTATATACCATGGACATTATTCTTATGTTTCATATGTTCATGTACTCATGTTATTTCTCTTGTGATCACATATATCTTTTCTTCTGTCACATACCACATGTATGTGTAAACATCTGTGCCATTTCATATAACATGTATCACTTGTGCATGTAATCACATAAATCGTATCATATAACTTATATCATTTCTCATGGGTTCATGTAAACATGTATATCATATCTTATTCACATGTTCATATATACATCACATAGCACATAGAATAACATATAAACTTGTACATGTATTCATGTATATACTTTCATCTAATCTGTATATCAAAGCCCTATAACTTATCTCACAGTTTTACATAGCTTGTCACATAGGCATATATTTTCATATATTAGATTCACATATCTTATATTACATGTTCTTATAGTCACTTATACATGTATTCTTATAATTTCTTATCATATCATATGGTTTATATCTTTATAACACAACATGTATTCATATCAATTATATAAATACATATACTCACATAACTTGTGTCATTTCTTATGAAATCACTTATAACATATAACATATATATATAGTTCATATCATTTCTCATAATTTCACATATGTCCATGTCATTTAACCTATCATTTATATCTATACCACCTAGTTTATATCCCTTTCTCTTGTTATCACATAAGTCCTTGCTATTTTACATAGTTCGTGATCCTATAATCAGTTATGTCAGTACCACATATTAACATATGACACATATACCCATTTTCATGTATTCATACACACATAAGAATTCCATCAATCACAAATCAAATAATATTTTAGGAGTCACTTCTTACCATAGTAACTCCATCACTGGCTCATCGTAAGCCAATGTTTGTTCAATAGCATAAGTACAATTAAATTGCACTCACCTTAGCCTTGCTTTGATTCGATCCTAATTCTTTGATTGTTCCGGAACTTGTTTAGGCTCAATATCCACATAAACATAATTTCCAAGACAATTATTAAAAGCTTAAACCTTATAACTTGATGTTAATAACTCAAAGTAGTTTAATGAATCAAAATTCCATTTTCCTTTAGGAGTGTACCGATGCACTATGGGTGAATCGATACACAAATTAGGTTCGAAATTCCCATGCATCGATGCACCCCTTAATGTATCGATGCACCTTCAAAATTTGTCTTAGTGCATCAGTACCCACTCATAGTGTACTGATACACTCTATATAGAACAAACTTTTTCACCAGGAAATTCATCAACTCTTCACTAAATTTCCTCATATAAAATTCTTTTCATACCACTAAACTCATCTACAACCATTTTAATTATCTTCTATCATCTCAACATCTTATTATCTCCCATATCTCATCCAAATTCTTAAAACCAAGAATCTTACTAATTTTTCCATGTAATCCAAACTCTATTCCAACACTTATAACTTCTTATTCATACTTATGACAAGTCAGATTCCATCTCAAAGTTCATTTATTAACTCTTTTTCAGAAATTCACTTTGAAACTCATTCTCTTTCATCTTTCATAACTTCTTCATCTTTTGATTTTAAGACAACTTAAGCTTTTATTAAGCTTAATTATCATCTAAGGATCAAAACCCAACCTTTAATTGAACAATTAATCAACTAATTAAGAAACTCACCTTTGCTTGTATGCTTCACGTTGGAGAAGAGAAGAAGATGGAGAAGATAAGTCTGGAAACTTATCTCCTCAAAACATGCTTCACATATGTATTATAATACCCACTAATTATTATTTAATTATTTCCTTGTTCAATGACTCATTTGCCCTTTGACTCTTTCAATAATTACCAATAACCCTTCAGAAATTATTTTTAAATAAGTCATTGAATTATTCAACTTTTCCACTTTAATCACCAAATTCTAAAATTTTATAATTTAGTCACTAACCCGTAGTTTGGGATATTACACTTCATATTCCCATGCTCTTTTATATCACATATATTTATCCTTAACTATCACTCATTATCACATTTTTATGACTTTGATAGTCAACTTTACTTGC